GCGCGCGTGAAGTGCAGCCGCTCCCACGGGATGCCCTGAATGTCCCGCCCGCGCGCCGCCTGCTGCGCACTCACGTCCGCCGCGCCGTCCAGCTGCCAGGGGGAAGGGAGAAATCGGGGACGAGGAGGGGGAGGGGCAAGGGCAGGGCCAGGGCCAGGGCCAGGGGCAGGGGCAGGGGCAGGAGGGAGAAAACTTTATTGGATTTAAAAGGAGTATGGGCCGGAGCCTTTTGAGTTGACTGAGAAAGTGTTTGGCAGAAAAGCGACAGATAAACGCAGCAGAGAGGGGCACACTACAGGAGCGCGTGGGACAACGATACATCGGACAATGGACGATGGACCGACCATGTCGTTGTCCTCGTCCGAGTCGTCTTCCCCTTGAAATTGCCGCGCGTCGGCTGTTCTGTCCCGCCGAGGTGTCGCGTCCCAGTCCCAATCCCCTTGTTGTGAGCCGTCTTGGCTGTCCGCGTCGATGCTGTCGTCGGAATAGTCGCACGTGTCGCATTCGTCGCTCTCCTCGTCGCACATGTCGTAATCCCTGACTGCTTGCTCCGAGTCTAAATATCGCTGCGCTCGAAACGACAGGCCGATTCACGAAAAGCATGAGATATAAACGGGTACGGCAGAAATAGGAGACAGTTAAGAAAATAGTATGGATGCATCTTCGGCAGCTCAGTACGAGCTGACGAGGCGAAAAGCGGAAGGTACAGCCAGCATAAAGGTGTAGGTGAACGAAACTACAGGAGTGCAAAAGGGTTCTGACAATCGGGGAGCTAACCATGTAATCCGCCTCGCCGTCATCTGTCGACGCCGCCATGGCTTCAGCGAACGAGTTCAAGACCACTAAAGAGCACGGAATGAAACGCCTTGTCCAGCCTTCGTCAACCGCCCATACTGGCTATTAAAAACAGGAATCGCCCGCAAAAGACTATGCCACGCGAAAAATAATCGCACAGCGTGACCCTAAGAATACCCGCAACCACAGGAGCTGAGAATATGCGCCAAGGTGGTCACACAAAATCAGACGTGTCGCGCTATTCAAGATTCTGTGGGGCACGAACGAGCGGGAGAATCTAGAACAAGCAAGCTGTGAGAAGGGGCAGCGTGCTGAGGGATTTGAGAGCAAGATTGTAGGGTAGGATGGAGAGGCGAATGTAGGTCACTGAGGGGGAGACGGGAATGGGAGAGGGCTGTTGAGAACGAGAGTGACATGACAAGGCGTTCGGCTGGCAGGAATTGGTTGGGGTTGCTTGTGGCATTGGAATTCGCGAATGGCATGTGCGACGGGATAGTGCGTGCGATACAACAGGTTTGGGGGTACAGTACAAAGCGAGCTGTCGCGCTGCCTACTTGTATGGCGTGCGATGAATCTTACAAGTCATGCGACTACCTGGCATGCTCGCACAGCAAGTCCTCTTTGGATACTGTAGAACGATCATTGATCGCTTGCCGCGTGCCTTACGATTGCCCTGGGCTGGGCAGATCTACAAGGGACAGGTGGTTGTGCGATCACCACCCGTCCTGTCGCACCGGCTTACTACACCCTGGCGGTATATTCCCGTCGCAATAGTCGCTTGCGATAACCCTGGGCTTTGGCCATCGGTCGCAACTGCTGTTATTGCAGACAGGACATTACAACAATCCAACCAATGAGGTGCCTGTATTGCGGGAAGTGCCTGTGTTGCGTGTGCCACTGGACACGCGGCACGGGTACTTTGACCAAACCAAGGGTTTGCCCAGACACTGTAGCGAGCGTCGCAGGAAAAAATCCAGATGTCGCTCACACCCTGGGTCGTCGTCAAGAAACCCCTGCGACCAGCTAGCGAACCGCTCGAGGACTCGTCGAGCGGGCTGTTTGTATAAAGAGGTCCCGCCGAAATGTGCTATTGGTGGGCTACCGTTCACTGTTGGCACACATTCGACATAGTACCTTTTGCTCAACCCTGCGAAGGCTCGCTTGCGACCAGTGATGGGCTGACTGATGGACTGAACACTAATTCTCCATTTTGCGGCAATTCCTTGTTGCAAAAGACTTGACTGTACGGTAATAGTATTTTGGGTTGCTTAGCAACCTTATACACCTAACCACCGCTATTTTCTTTCGGTCTATCTTCAACCCCCACGTGTGCAAAGGGGTAGGCACCCTTCAAAACGTTTTTGACCGAGGGTTGTGTCGGACGTCATACGCTCTACGCAGAGTTAGTTCCTGACTCCTGAAAGCTACGCAATGGGATGCGCAACAACAAGCAGACTCCACACGAGCCGAAATTGTCTTACACTCGCCCGATTGAAATCTCCATTTGATGTCATTCATAGTCCCCTATAACGAGGTTTCTAACAGAAAACCCCAAAAGCTGGGCAGGGATTACATGAAAATCGGGAACAGTGCCAAGGTCAGAAGTTGAAAATAGCGGTGGCTAGGTGTACATTCGTTTTCACTTTTCGGTTGGCTGATGTGAACAGTGAATTTCTCTTATAATTTTGAAAGAAATCACTGTTCACATAGCTTCCCCAAAAAAATGAAAACAGATGTTTCCAATCATTCCATAATCGTCGATAAGTACGGCGAATGGAACAATTGGAGATTCGTTCTAGCCCTAAAGATGATGCCCAATGACACAAGAACACAAATGACAACACAAAAATAAAACCGTCATGCATGTTCTGAAGGGAACACTAAATGCATCAATGCAACAACTGAGACTGATATGGTACGGAAGAGGCGAGCAAAGCTGCCCCACCGACGATCACAATCCCAGTTGCATACACGAGACACTTAGCACCACACCCCCGAAACAAGCACAGACGATAACACATAAATGATTACAAAAACAGAAGACAACGATAAAGAATGTTTCAAAGCGAATGCTAAATGCATCAGTGCTGCAACTAAGATTGATATGGTACGGAAGAGGCGAGCAAAGCTGCCCCACCGACGATCACAATCCCAGTTGCATACACGAGACACTTAGCACCACACCCCCGAAACAAGCACAGACGATAACACATAAATGATTACAAAAACAGAAGACAACGATAAAGAATGTTTCAAAGCGAATGCTAAATGCATCAGTGCTGCAACTAAGATTGATATGGTACGGAAGAGGCTAGCAAAGCTGCCCCACCGACGATCACAATCCCAGTTGCATACACGAGGCACTTAGCACAACACCCGAAGCACACACAATACACGTATGCACATGTACGCACTCACACACATACAGGCTCACACATATACAGACACACACAACACAAGAACATACAGCTACTGTAATAAGCATGCAAGCATAATGAATGAATTTCAGCATTGTATAATTTATCACTATCCTGTCCCCCATTCCCCTCCATCCCTCCCTCCCTCCCTCCCTCCCTCATTTGCCTCATCTCCCTTCTTCCCATCCGTTTTCTCCGCAAGAAACAAAGGCTGCAGCTTGAACTCCCTGCACAGGAAAGAAAAATCAGCGAATGCAACTCACTCCCTGCACAAACAAGAACAAAATCAGAGAATAGAACTTGCATTATTGCACAAGAAAACAAATTCAGAAAATGCAGCTTCCTTGATGCACTAAAAAACAAAGTAAGCGCAACAGAAATTCACGCTCTCTCGCGCACTCTCTCGCGCACTCTCTCACACACTCTCCACGCGCTCCCTCACGCGCTCTCTCACGCGCTCCCTCACGCGCTCCCTCACGTGCTCCCGCACGCAATCTCTCATTCGCACTCTCACTCACGCGCTCCCTCGCACGCTCTCTCAGGCGCGCTCGCTCTCACGGGCTCTAACACGCACTGTCACTCGCTCCCTCACGCGCTCTCTCACGCATTCTCTCACGCGATCTCTCACGCGCTCTATCACGCTCACTCCTACACGTACTTTCCCATGCGTGCGCTCCAGTGCACACGCTCTCCCTCGCGCTCCGTGTCTCTCCCTTTCTTCACGAAGAGAGCTACGCAAGAGAAGACCAATCGACACACAATAATTACGAGGAGAGCAAAAACAAACAAAAAAATTTTAAGAAGAATAAACAAAGAATTTTCAGAGGGAGGAGGGAGGATGAAAGGACCCGGAACGCACCGGATTTACCACGGTAACTCGGAAAACAACCCGCGCTCGCGCACCAAAAAGCGCTCGCGCACCAAAAAACGCTCGCGCACCAACTCGCGGTTGCGCCCGTGCACTGGTCGCCGGAGCGGGGTAGGAGGGAGGGGCGACGGCGGGGAGGAGGGAGAGGCGACGGCGGGGAGGAGGGAGAGGCGACGGCGGGGAGGAACGGAGAGGCGACGGCGGGAAGGAGGGAGCGGCGATGGCGGGGAGGAGGGAGAGGCGAAGGCGGGAGGGAGGGAGAGGCGACGGCGGGGAGGAACGGAGAGGCGACGGCGGGAGGGAGGGAGCGGCGATGGCGAGGAGGAGGGAGAGGCGAAGGCGGGAGGGAGGGAGAGGCGACGGCGGGGAGGAGGGAGAGGCGACGGCGGGGAGGAACGGAGAGGCGACGGCGGGAGGGAGGGAGCGGCGATGGCGGGGAGGAGGGGGAGCTAAGGCGGGAGGGAGGGAGAGGCGACGGCGGGAGGGAGGGAGAGGCGACGGCGAGGAGGAGGGCGAGGCGACGGCGGGGAGGAGGGAGAGGCGACGGCGGGAGAAACGGAGAGGCGACGGCGGGAGGGAGGGAGCGGCGACGGCGGGGAGGAGGGAGAGGCGACGGCGGGAGGAACGGAGAGGCGACGGCAGGAGGGAGGGAGCGGCGACAGCGGGTGGGAGGGAGAGGAGATTGCGAGGTGGAATGGAAAGTGGATGGCGGGGTGGAAGGGAGCAGCGATGGGAAGGTGAGAGGGAGAGCCGATGACGAGGTGGGTGGGATGGGAGGGTGAGGCAACTGGTGGTTGGTAGGGGAGGGGAAGCGATGACGGGGAGGAAGGGATTGGCAAACAAGAAACTACAGTGCGCAATATGGGAGAAGGGGGGAGGCATGAATCACAACACGAAAAAGACGATGGGGCAAAACGAAAACACTGAACAGAATTTGCGCGCCTGCCAGAAAAGGATGATGCATGAAACAATTCACATATAAAAAGCCCGAAAACGACGGGGCAATCCGAGCCAGTACAGGACCTGGGCACTTGGAATAAAAAAACCAAACGCTGGTGGCACGTGAGAACACACACATTATCACGTGAATTTTGTGTGAGCTGGAAACACATACTTGCTGGAGCAAGAACCTCATTACATATCATTGCTACAAAATATCATACTGAAGATTTATAACATTGTTCACTAATTATATTCGATACTCAATATACACAGTAATATTTTCACCCAACGTTTAGAAAGGCAATCATAAGCACTAGCTTGTAATATTCATTATCACATTAATGTTAGAAACAATAGGAGTGGGGCCTAGGCTTAGTAGCCTAGGCCCACACTAGGAGGTAGTAGGATGTGCCCTAGGACTAGGGTTTTGGGTATGTGAAGGAGAAATGGAGAATGGTGAGTCATTGAACTAGCAGGCAGCAGGATACAAATAGCAAACCCTAAGGGGTTGTACTCACTATTGAGCACCCCACTGCAGGCTAGACAAACAACATAATCTGACACACCCCCATAGCCAAAGTGGGGTGTAATCAGCACAACAAACAGTCATAGCAGTAGTTCACAATTTATGAGCAAAGCTAGAGGCAGTCACAGAGGGCAAGTGAGGAGGAGGAGGAACTGTGAAGGGAGAGAAGCCCATGTCGAAAGAATTAGGCAAAAGAGGACTGAACTAGCAAGAATGGGGATACAAATAGCAAACCCTAGAAGGGTTGTACTCGCTACAGAGCACCCCACTACAGGCTAGAGCATAATATTCTGACAGATTGGAGACGACGACTGAAGCTGCAGACACACAGGCGCAGCAGGCTCTCTGAGCTACCAGGACAGTGCGCCCCGGACTACAGGTGCTGCAGCCTCCTCCAACTGTCCCACACCCCCCTACACACATCCCCTGTTTCACCTCTAGCTCCACTCCCACATCACCCCCCTAGCGCCACTCCCTTCGGCTCCCACACCTCCACCCCCCTCAGCGGCAGCTGCAGCAGTGGGAGACGAAGGAGGAGGAAGGGACGACGCACACGGAGCACCCCCATACCTGTCACCCCCACACTCCTGTCCAGGGGACGGGGGGGGGGGGGGGCAACATAACAGAACAGAGCGCACGAAGCACAAGGCACAAGGCACAAGGCACGAGGCACAAGGTACGAGGCACAAGGCACGAGGCACGAGGCACAAGGCACAAGGCACAAGGCACGAGGCACAAGAGAGTAGAGCGCACGAGGGCGCGGGCTGCAGCAGGGCGCACGAGGGCGCGGGCAGCAGCAGGTAGGCAGGGCGCGCGTAGAGGCGCAGCGTTGGTAGGCAGTGCGCGCGCAGAGGCGCAGCGCAGGTAGGCAGGGCGCGCGCAGAGGCGCAGCGCAGGTAGGCAGTGCGCGCGCAGAGGCGCAGCGCAGGTAGGCAGGGCGCGCGCAGAGGCGCAGCGCAGGTAGGCAGTGCGCGCGCAGAGGCGCAGCGCAGGTAGGCAGGGCGCGCGCAGAGGCGCAGCGCAGGTAGGCAGGGCGCGCGCAGAGGCGCAGCGCAGGTAGGCAGGGCGCGCGCAGAGGCGCAGCGCAGGTAGGCAGGGCGCGCGCAGAGGCGCAGCGCAGGTAGGCAGGGCGCGTGCAGAGGCGCAGCGCAGGTAGGCAGTACAAACGAACACAGGCAAAACGAACAAATACACGAACAAGACGAACGTACACGGAGTGGGCAAGAAAAGACACATACAGAACGAGAGGAACAAGACTGCGGGTGACAGGAAAAGGAGGCGGCTGCACCGGGACCAGGAGCGGCGTCGCATGCAGCTGCAGGGTCGGCGCCGTGGGCTGCTGCAGAGGCGGCTGCTGCAGGGGCGGCTGCTCGGGTCCAGGGGCAGCTGCAGCAGTGGCGGCTGCTCCAGGGGCCAGGGGCGGCTGCTGCAGGGGCGGCTGCTCCAGGGGCGGCGTCGCGGGCCCAGGGGCGGCTGCACCAGGGGCGGCGGCTCCAGTGGCGGCTGCTCCAGAGGCGGGCGACTCCAGGGGAGGCTGCTGCAGTGGCGGGCGGCTCCAGGGGCGGCTGCTGCTGTGGCGGGCGACTCCAGGGGCGGCTGCTGCAGTGGCGGGCGGCTCCAGTGGCGGCTGCTGCTGTGGCGGGCGACTCCAGGGGCGGCTGCTGCAGTGGCGGGCGACTCCAGGGGCGGCTGCTGCAGTGGCGGGCGGCTCCAGGGGCGGCTGCTGCAGTGGCGGGCGGCTCCAGGGGCGGCTGCTGCTGTGGCGGGCGACTCCAGGGGCGGCTGCTGCAGTGGCGAGCGGCTCCAGGGGCGGCTGCTGCTGTGGCGGGCGACTCCAGGGGCGGCTGCTGCAGTGGCGGGCGGCTCCAGGGGCGGCTGCTGCAGTGGCGAGCGGCTCGAGGCGCGCCCTGGCCTGGCGCAGTCCGTACGGGCCGCGCTGGCGCTCGCGGCTGGCCGTGGCGCTGGCGTCCGCGCGGGGCGACGAAAGGGGGGGCGCGGGGCGACGAAACGGGGGCCGCGGGCGACGGGAACGGGGGGCCGCGGGCGACGGGAACGGGGGGCCGCGGGCGACGGGAACGGGGGGCCGCGGGCGACGGGAACGGGGGGCCGCGGGCGACGGGAACGGGGGGCCGCGGGCGACGGGAACGGGGGGCCGCGGGCGACGGGAACGGGGGGCCGCGGGCGACGGGAACGGGGGGCCGCGGGCGACGGGAACGGGGGGGCCGCGGGCGACGGGAACGGGGGGCCGCGGGCGACGGGAACGACGCGGGGCGACGCGGGGGCGACGGGGCAGAAAGCCGCCGCGCGCCTCGGGGCGCACGGCGGGCAGAAAACCGCCGCGCGCCTCGGGGCGCACGGCGGGCAGAAAACCGCCGCACGCTCCGAGCGCGCGGCGGGATGAAAAATCCGTCGCACGCCACGGGGCGTGCAACACACAGAGTAGCAGTAGCAGCGGAAGCAGTGAGGTGGTGGGCCCATTGAGGTAAGCGGCAGGAACGTGCTCGCTCTGATACCATGTCAAGATACTAAGCACCCAGAGAGCTAGGTTTAGGCTTAGAAAGCATAGTTAGGAGTAGGAGCTAGGGCTTAGCCTAGACACAAGAGAGATGTCCAAGCAAGAAGGGCTTGCACTATGGAATGTTGGGTACAAATAGAAGAGAAGCAAGCTAGGAGTGGTGCACCACCACACAGAATACAGTTGCGACTACACTAGAGCTAGATTGCATGCACTTATACAAAACATATGCAATATATGTTCTGACACACCCCCTAAGTGCATGCAGGAATAGCCCTTGTGCAGAACACCCCCAGAAGTGGTACACCTTGCAGGGCGCAGCAGAAGAAGAGGCGAAGTGAGGAGGAGGAGTGACTGTGAGAGGAGAAGAGGAGTGGAGGCGACGACTGAAGCTGCAGACACACGGGCAACAGACGGCTCTGGTGCAGCTCTAGTGGCTACCGGGAGCAAGGGCCCCGGAATACAGGAGTAACAGGCTCTGCGTCTGATCAGCAGCGACAGGAGCAACGGACCCACGGGCGACAGGTGCAACCGGCTCTCTGAGCTACCGGTGGCTATCAGAACCCCGGAATACAGGCGCTGCAGACGACACGACGGCGGCCTCCGCTCAACCTCCCCCAACAGTCCCACACCCCTCGACACACACCCCCTGCTGAACCCCTAGCTCCACTCCCACGGCACCCCCCTTAAACCCTAAACCCTCGGCTCCCACACATCCACCCCCCTCAGCGGCAGCTGCAGCAGTGGGAGACGGAGGAGGAGGAGGAGCAGGGGACGGCTCACACACACGGCACCCCCATACCCTCCACCCCCAAACCCTAACACAGGAACGCGGGCAGTAGCGGGGGTGGGGCGCCGGCAGAAGCTCGGGGGACGGACGAGGCGCGCGCACGGGCCTGCCGCAGGCCGGACGAGGCGCGCGCGGGCTGCCCGGGCCGCGCGCGGGCCTGGCGCAGGCCGTACGGGCCGCGCGCGGGCTGTACGGGCCGGGCCTGGCGCAGCCTGTACGGGCCGCGCGCGGGCCTGGCGCAGGTCGCGCGGGCCGCGTCGGGCGACGGGGGGCGACGCGCGGGTCCCTGGGGGCTTCGCGACGGGCGACGGGGGGCGACACGCGGTTCGACGGGGCAGAAAACCGCCGCGCGCCCCGAGCGCGCGGCGGGAAGAAAAATCGCCGCGCGCCCGGGGCGCGCGGCAGGCAGGAAATAGCAGGAAGTAGCAGCGGAAGCATCGTGGGGCCCACAGGCCAAGGACGTAACGGCTCTGTTACCATGTTAGAAACAATAGGAGTGGGGCCTAGGCTTAGTAGCCTAGGCCCACACTAGGAGGTAGTAGGATGTGCCCTAGGACTAGGGTTTTGGGTATGTGAAGGAGAAATGGAGAATGGTGAGTCATTGAACTAGCAGGCAGCAGGATACAAATAGCAAACCCTAAGGGGTTGTACTCACTATTGAGCACCCCACTGCAGGCTAGACAAACAACATAATCTGACAATTAAAACTAAAACGTGGTGCTACATAAATACATTAAATTGGTTATATAGGTTATGTTAGTTTATTGTGTATGATCCTTTATAGCTTCAAAAATGGCAAATCCTACGCAACCCATACGATGGTAAACGCCGAGCCTTGTCATACCTTTTCTCATAATCATCCATACACATGCCATGTAGCACAGATTAATACCGTATTGAGAATAAAAGCTTGTTGCATATCAGTTCAGATACCAATAGCATCAAGCAACTTCCAGTGGTCCCACACAGGGGTCAGAGTGTTAGCCGCCACAACTCCACTCGCCGCAACCGCAGGCACACCAATCCCCGGAAACGTCGAATCCCCGCAGCAAAACAGGCCCGGAAGGGGCGTCGTCGAGCCTGGGAAAGTCCCCTCGCCTGCCTTGATTGCCGGGCCATAAGTGCCTCGGTGCCTTCTCAAATACCGCCCATGAGTCAAGGGCGTACCCAACAATGCCAGCTCACATTGATCACGTGAGAAACCTGGACCAAGCACCCTCTCCACTGCTTTCCACATCACCTCAGCCCTCTCCTCCTTCAGTTTCTTGTATTCAGCAGATCGTCTATCCAGGCCTTCCCACAGGGAGGCTGGTTCGGTCCCCGGGGTGTACGCGTGCAATGAGACGGTGCCAGGTGGCGACAGCGAGGCGTCGAGGACCGTCGGGATGGAGATGAGAACCACGTTCTGAGGCGCGTCGACGCCCACCGACCAATCGTTGACCACGATGTGATGGATCTCCAGGTCAGCTGGAAGATTCTCCTTCTTGATTCCCAGATGCAGGTGCATGAATGAATCACACTCGGGTGTAGCCTCCCTCTCCTTCCGATACTCCCCAGGTACACTCCCAGGCGGCAGCACGCGCATGGTATCCCACACCGATGCATTACTCACTACGGCCGTACGGGCACGAACAATCTGCCCGGATTTAAGTTTTACGCCGACTGCCCGGCCGCCCTCCACCACTATGCTGTCCACGTGGCAGTTCAGGGAGAGCTGCCCGCCGTGCTTCTCCATCCCCCTTATAAGCGCCTGGATAATCGCCTCGGGGCCGCCGAGAGGGTACTCCATGACGCTGCCGGGCTTGTACCACTCTGCAAACATGTACACCTGTGAAGAGGGGAGAAGGGGAAGACAACGTTTCAAGGTTTGAGCAGACCACATAGCTTCTGAGGCGCCTAGCAATGAGGGTACTCCATGACGCTCCCGGGCTTGTACCACTCTGCAAACATGTACACCTGGGGAAGAGCGGGGGGAGGAGGGGGCGAAAGAGAGAATGTTTTACGTTGAAAATGTTATACTTGGGGGGGGCAGCAATACCTTCTGAGGCATCTAGGGATGAGGGTACTCCATGACACTCCCGGGCTTGTACCACTCTGCAAACATGTACACCTGGGGAAGAGCTGGGGGAGGAGGGGGCGAAAGAGAGAATGTTTTACGTTGAAAATGTTATACTTGGGGGGGGCAGCAATACCTTCTGAGGCATCTAGGGATGAGGGTACTCCATGACGCTCCCGGGCTTGTACCACTCTGCAAACATGTACACCTGGAGGGTTGGGAGGGAGGGAGGCGGTTGGGCGAGAGTGGAAGGGGTGAGGGACTTGGAGTCCGGAAGAGGTACAGTGAGGGGGAGTAGGAGTGACACGCAGACGAGCCGAGAACTATGCAGCGGATTGAAGGGAGGGGAGTGAAGGCGGGTCGAGAGGGGGGAGTGCGGGGCAGAGAGAAGGGCTCACCACTTCAGCAGCGATGGTGGCGTCAGCCTTCTGCCCCGAGAGCAGGAAGGAGAGCAGGTCGATCCAGTTGCGAACAAAGGGGTGCTTCACACCCACCGAGTCTGCTAGCGAGGAGAACGGGCCCATCAGCTTCGATGCGTTCAGCGCAGCTGGGGGGGAGGCGTGGGGGAAAGGGGGGTGGAAATAACATTGAGGGAGAGCAGGAAAGTGAGGGGAGTCCAAGGTGGGAAGGAAGGGGTGTTTCATCTGCCCACACGGCTACAGCCACTGCATCAGCTGGAACAGAGAACAGCCCACACATCACACTCACTGCACTAAAAAAGGCGTTCCACTGCTAGCCTCACCTGCAGGCCCGGCGCTGCCGAAAGTGCGGAGCAGGCTTGGGCCGTACCTCAGCCCCGCAGTGAGCAACACGGCAGGGTCGGCACGGAGAGCAGCTGGAGGGAGCGCCATTGAGGGGCCGGCTAGTGGCTCCACTGCTGCCTGTGAGGCGACAGGAGAGGGGAAAAAAAGAAAAGGGGGTGGAGGAGACGGGGAAGAGAGAGGGGGGAAGAGAGAGAGAAGGGAGAAGGGGGGGAAGAGAGAGAGGGGGGGAAGAGAGAAGGGGGGAAGAGAGAGGGGGGAAGAGAGAGGGGGGGAAGAGAGAAGGGGGGGAGAGAGAGAAGGGGGGAAGAGAGAAGGGGGGAAGAGAGTGGGTGGGGAGCTGCGCAGAGGAGCTAGGGGGAAGGTCATGGAGGGGCCCGCTAGAGGCTCCACTGCTGCCTGTGGGTGGGGGGGATGGGAAAGGGGAGGGGAAGGGGGGGGAAGGAGGGGAATGGAGGGTGGAAGTGGGTGGGTGGAGGTGCCGTGGTGTATCGAGAAGCTGGGAGGAGGGCCAAGGAGAGGCCTGCCTGCCAGCGGCTCCATTGCTGCCTGCTTTGTGATGAGAGGGAAAGCGGGTGTGTGTGTTGTGCGGGTGGGGGGGGGGTAAAGGGGCGATAGGGGTTTTGTGGGGGTGGGGGTGTGGGGGAAAGGGACTGGGTAGAAGGTCGAAGCTTTGGCACGGAGAGGAAAGAAGGACGAGCGGGACAGAATGTGGCGTCTGAGCGGGTTAGGAGGGTAGCAGGTAGCACTGGCCGCACAGCAACCATCAAACCGATCAGCGATTTCATAAGCGAAGCAGTAGGCAAATCCGGATTGAGAGGCACGCGTAGGTGCAGTGAGAGAGGGAGGCGCAGTGTAGGAAGTGGCTCACCATTAGCTTGCGCCAGTCCTGCACTGCCTCTTCCCCCACTCGCTGCTGTAACACCTGCGAGGGAGGGAGGAGGGGAGGAACGGAAGGGGGATGGAGGGGGTGATTGGGGAATCAAGGCAGGAGCAGAGAGGGGAACACAGACGGGCAGAGGGCACGGAGCACTGTGAGCAGCCGTGGCATTACTGAGGTAGAAAATGTAGTGCTGCCGCACCTCAATGAAGTGAGAGGGGCCGATGCGGGACAGGAAGTCCCCCTCAGGCAGGTAGCACATCCAGCTGTCGTACGCTCTCCCCCAGCGCGTCGAACAAGAAGCGCGTGCAGACAGGCTATATAGTCAGTGTTATCCGCACCTCGATAAAGTGAGATGGGCCGATGCGCGAGAGGAAATCCCCCTCAGGCAGGTAGCACATCCAGCTGTCGTACGCCGCGCACGGCACCGTCTCCCCCAGCGCGTCCAGAACCTGCGCGAGCGGGTTCGCCTGCGGGCCGCGCGACGACAATCCCGAGAACAGCGACGGGCCCGTGTCAAACGAAAAGCCGTTTCGCGTGAACCCGTGCGCCGCGCCGCCCGGGAGGTAGTGGCTCTCGAGGACGAGCGTTGTCGCGGCCGTAGCGCGCGAGGAGGCTGCCGCAGCAGAGCCCGCCGATTCCGGAACCGATGACGATGACGTCAGCCTCGGTCTTGCCGCGGAGGCCTCTCCGCTGCTTCATGTCTTCCGCCACTGTGCTCTCTTCCGCCTCCGCGGAGTCCGCGCCCGCGCTACCCGCGGAGGCTGCTGCGCGCACGCGGAAAGTCCGCCCATCGTGCGGTTGCGCGGAATCGCGGCCACAACGTGAGGCGAAATTCGTCCGATTGCTGGTGCCCGAATTTCCGCGCAAAGCGGCAAGACCAGCGGGACGACTTTGTAAGGAACTAAGCATGGAATTTTTACATAAATTTCCTTGGAATGAGCTAGCATTACGCGACGGGACTGCGGACACCAGCGGGAGCGTGGTAACAATGGCAGCCATTGTCACGAAATCGGAGAATTGAACGTTCTCTGTGTGCAAATGGGACAAATTGAAATGGGTGAATCTCCTGCTGGAGAATGATGCGAATTGTTGAATGAGCTGTGTGGCTTGGGGTTCTGAAAGTCCTTTACCTTGTACCGGAGATGTTCATCTCAGACAAATCGTTAGAAAATTGTTTTTGACGTGTACTTCCATCCACCATTTACGTCGATCTCTTTTGTGGAAATGAATTCCCGAATAATGTACAGTAAAACTTCTCCATGAGCTAACCTGCGATTCGTTGTGTTTGCGCCTGGGGGCGCCGTGACATGCGCAGAATCGTCGATCGTGACCCATCACAAACTCCCGCGCGTCGAATCGACTTTTTCTGAGCTGCCCATTCGTTTGAAGCAGCGTTGTACTTCGCTATAGCAGCAAATTGACCAATGTTGACCGTCTCTCCGCGGCGCGACAACACCGACATTGCGCGTTGGCTCTCCTCGGTTCGACTCACTTCCCCTCCCTTCGCCAATCCCCCGACCCTCAAATCCCACCCCGCCCCCGACACATTTTTGCTTCACACAACAGCCCCACACCACACTAATCAAGCAAGACTCATCAACACCATTTCGCCCTCACGCACACAAGCAGGCTCGCCTCACACAGCGTAAAGGCCTTGCATAACATTCCTCATCTCTGTAGCCATCACGCGAATTCTCCAAAGAACCAACTCCCAACGCAAAATTCTAGCTTCCCAAATTCTTGACCTCCGCATTCACTGTGCTCGGAGTACAAGCTGCAAGACATGGCACGCGGCGGAGCTCGTGTAGCAGCACTAATCATACCACCGCTCCTCCTCGTCCTCTTCATGGCAAACCGCGCAGCAGCAGTCGAGGACTACGGCGTGTGGGACAGCAAATTCACGGGCACGCTCTCCTTGATTCAAGGCGAGGACGGCGGCTCGTGCGGCTACGGCAAGACCAACGGCGTGCGGCCGTACAATCTCCCCACCATTGCGATTTCCTCCAAGCTCTACGAGAACGGCACCGGATGCGGCGCGTGTTACGCCGTGCAATGCGTCAAGTCGCAGATGTGCCGGCAGGATAAGATCGTCGCTGTGACGGCAACCAGTGAGTGCATCGGCCAGCCGCGATCCGGAATCTGCCGGCCCGGGAAAAAAGGAATAATCATGTCGCCGTGGGTGTACGATCAGATTGTGAAAAATCGCGTCGCGGGGAACATTCGCGTGCGACTCGCGCGAATCCCGTGCAAACGACGCGGTGGGCTCATTTTCAAGCCGGTCATGGGGACGGATTACTTTATCGGGGTGCTTATAATGAACGCCGCGGGGCCGGGCGGAATCGCGTCCGTGCACATGAAAGTGGGCGGCGCGGGATGGCTGCCCATGGCGCGGAATTTCGGCGGAGTTTGGTCGGCGAGCGGAGTGAGAGTCATCGGCGTACCGATCTCGTTTCATGTCGTGAGCGCGCTCAAGGAGTTGAGCCTCACGGCGCTGAACGTACTGCCTGCCACGTGGCGTGTCAACGGGACGTACGTGTTCGCAAAGAATTTCCCCTTGACGGCCTAAATTCGTCTTCAAAGGAGATTGGCGAGACGCTTGATTAGGTTCACAGCGGGATATCTATTTGCTGGAGATGGTAGGAGAATGACCAACACAAGTGGTTTGAGAAGGAAACGGAGGGGAGGAGAGGTGATGTGGTGGGGATGGGCTGAGGGTTGGGCTGCTGTGTGTGTTATTACTAGGTTAGGGGATGGGGAAGAGTAATCCCATCCTGATTGATAAAGTCGGCTTGAAGCAGGTGTTTGAAGAGACGTCTCCTTCAGGTGCCTTTTTGGATGCCATATAAATAATGTCTTTCCATCAATAGAAAGGTTTGGACTGTCACACCAGGGTGTATTGGAAGGTCCAATCATATGCAAGAACCTGCACTGGAACTCTCCCCAGCCGAACCTTCCTGGAAGCTCCAGCGGCACCCATAGCCTGCAAAATGTTTTGCTTCTGCCCGTCTTCCATTTGCTCAGCTGCCCATTGCAGGAGCCCCACTGCGTTCCTTGCAAAGTCCTTGCTGTACCAGTGCAAGAGCTTGGGCAGCAGAATTTTCCCGCTGCCCGGATGGAGCTTTACGTTTGCCCGAATGTAGTCCTGGGCAGCTGCTTTTAGCTGCTCATGAATAGTGTCGGGGTGGTACACTCGCACCTGATTGGTTGATGGGAGATTTGGTAAGAAAATATAAGGCAACTGAGGGATATGTTCACAGACCGGAGGTCAGGGTGTGAATGCAAGGGCATAATGGCATGGGACATGGGGATACTATTGCCACCGTATAGGGAGGAGGAAAAGGGAGAGGAGAGAGACGACAGGGGGGGGAGGAATGGTATAAGTGAGGGGGGTCAGAGGGAGGGGGGTCAGAGGGAGGGGGGTCAGAGGGAGGGGGGTCAGATTGAGGGGGGTCAGAGGGAGGGGGGTCAGAGGGAGGGGGGTCAGATTGAGGGGGGTCAGAGGGAGGGGGGACAGAGGGAGGGGGGTCAGATTGAGGGGGGTCAGAGGGAGGGGGGACAGAGGGAGGGGAGGCTTACAGGGGGAGCGGAGGCGCAGCCACAGCTGAGAGCAAAGGTGACTAGAGGCTCGGGCCTATCTAGGGCCAGGCTGTAGCGCACATCCCCCCGCCTGTAGCGCTGCACTGGCAGCAGACCCGCCTGGGAGGGGAATGATGGGTGGGTGGTCGGTGGGGAAAAGAAAGGGGGTGTGAAGAATGTCGAGAGCCAGGCTGTAGCGCACGTCCCCCCGCCTGTAGCGCTGCACTGGCAGCAGACCTGCCTGGGAAAATTGAGAAAGAAGGGGGGAAGAAGTGGAATTTTGTGCGAGAGAGAGGGAGATAGGGAGAGGGGGGAATGGCAGCATGGATAGCGGTGGACGAGAATCTTGGAGATATGTGAGAATCATGAGACTGAAAGGGTGAGAGAAAGAGAAGGAATGGTGATAGTTGGACGAGAATCTTGGAAATATATGAGAATCATGGGCTAGGTGGCTTTTGAGTCGACTCAAAAGTCATGGGGCTGAAAGGGTGAGAGAAAGAGAGGGAACGGTGAGAGATGTTGATGTGGAAATGGGAGCAAGAGTGTGCGTGAGAGTGAAAGGGAGATGGTGTTACCAGTGCTGGTTGGAAGGACGCGGCTCTTAGAATGCAGTGCTCTATAGCGAGGATGGAGAAGGGCAGGCCGGCAATTATGTAGGCGGACTGCACGGATGGAGGAAGGTTGCGTTGGTGTGGGGATGCGAAAGCAGGGAATTAAGGCAGGGGGGTGAGGGAAAAGGGGAATGGGGAAGGACGAGGGCAGAGGAGAGGGGTAGAAGAGAATGAGGAGGGATGCGAGGAGAATAATAGGCAGGCGGTTACGGAATGAACGAACAGTGCAGATGAACGCGGAGCAGAGAAACTTGGGAGAAGGGGTGTAGAGGGGGGGGAGCGGGGGGTGTGTCACTGCAGCAGGCATGGCATGAAAGGAGTGAGGTGAGGTGAGGTGAAGTGAGGTGAGGTGAGGTGAGGTGAGGTGAGGTGAGGTGAGGTGAGGTGAGGTGAGGTGAGGTGAGGGTAGTGAGCGGAGTGCAGGAGGACTGAAACCTTGTGCATGAACATGACTCGCTTGTAGTGGGTGCGAGGCTGGACTACTGAGTCATCTCAAAAGTGAGTGAGGGGAGGGGAGGTGAGGGGAGGGGAGGTGAGGGGAGGGGAGGTGAGGGGAGGGGAGGTGAGGTGGAGGCAGTAAGCGCGGTGGAGAGAGGACTCAAACCTTGTGCATGAACATGACTCGCTTGTAGTGGCTGCGTGGCTGGCCGTACACCAGGTAGGCCTGGTGGAGGGGGGAGAAAGGACGGACAGTGGAGGTGGAGGCGAGCAGGTGAACGGGAGGAAGAAGTAAGATACAGAACAAGGAGGGAGAAGTGAAGGCGTTGATGCTGGGCGGCAAAGGTGGAGTCATGTCGACGGTCGCATGTGCTGACTGACTCTAAGATGCTACCTATCACATGTAGGGCAGTGTTGCATGCATGGCAACATGCGCGCATGACCAATTTCACATGCCCATGAACCTCCCGTTCACATGCATGGCGAGCGTGTTGCACACGTCAATCAAGACGGCTTGTCGATCTGGACACCCCATCTCATATGCACAACGCCACGTGCCCACAGTGTAACCCATCCCACATGCACAACGCCACGTGCCCACAGTGTAACCCATCCCACATGCACAACGCCACGTGCCCACAGTGTAACCCATCCCACATGCACAACGTCACGTGCCCACAGTGTAACCCATCCCACATGCACAACGCCACGTGCCCACAGTGTAACCCATCCCACATGCGCACACTATGACACCCCCCCTCACATGCATGGAGAGTGCGTCGTACACGTTGATCCAGAAGGCCAGTCGTTCCGAGTGCCCCATCTCACATGAACAGCACCACATGCACACAGTATGACCCCTCTAACATGCGCACACTATGACTCCCCCTCTCACATGCACATCCCCTCTCACATGCACATCCCCCCTCACATGCACACCCCCCCTCACATGCACATCCCCTCTCACATGCACATCCCCCCTCACATGCACACCCCCCCTCACATGCACACCCCCCCTCACATGCATGGCGAGTGCGTTGTACACGTTGATCCAGAAGGCCAGTCGCTCCGAGTGCCCCAGCTGCTGTGGCTGCACGTCTGACAACAGCTCTGATAGGATCCTGCGTGGGTTGAGGGGGATTGAAGGGGTTTGAGAGGGGTTGAGGGCTGTGGCTCCACGAAGATACACCATTATGGGGACAGAGAAGCATGGCACCTGGCTTCTCACCTGAAGCGTTGCAGCTCGTGTCGATGAGTCGCGCCTGCCTCTGATGCCAGATAGTCCAGAACCACTTGCACATCCGTTACAGCCACACTTCCCCCCTCCGTTACAGTCACGTTTTCCCCGTTTGTAACAGTCACAGCCGCATCAACAGGTGCAGAATCACCCACAAAAACATCATCTTCAGGCAAGTGAGGAGCAACGCCAGCAGCAGCCGCTGCTGCCCTTGCAGAGCTGGCAGGAAGACTGGGTGCAGAGGACCAGGGGGAGTTGGTAGTGGCAGCAGAGGGGGTGGGAGGGGCAGCAGTGGTGAGGGAGTGCGTGTGGGAGAGGGCGGGGGAGGAGGCAGAGCGAGAGAAAGCTCTGGGACCTTTCCAGGAGAAGGAGCGAGAGGTGGAGGAAGATGGGGTGACTGCCTGCTGCTGCTGTTGCTGCTGCGGCTGCTGCTGCTGCTGTTGAGAGGACTTGTTAGAAGGCAAGGGAGGGTGAGAGGTGGAGAGAGGTGTGGTAGGGTCAATGTGAGCCAGGGAGGAGTCAGAGTGCCGGGCAGAGATGGACGGCCCAGATGCTCCGGAGCTCAGCGATGCTAGCGATGGTGAGGATAGCGAGGAGGCCAGTGTGGGGGAGGCGATTCCGTGCGAGGCGGCGGCGGTTGCAGCAGCAGCATCAGTATCAGCAGCAGTACCAGCAGCAGTATTAGTATTAGCATTAGCATTAGCGTTGGCAGCGGCCTTATAGATGGCGAGGATGGCGTCAAGGAGAGCCATAGAGAGCGCCTCTGCTCGCCCCTCGTACTGCTCCCTCAGCCACTCCCTCACTGGCCTCCCACTTGAACCCTCGCCTTCCCAAACAGGGCTCGCTTCCCCTGCACTGGCCACAGATTCCGTCATTCCGTTGACAGTGGCGCATGCACTGGGATCACTGGCACCGCGAGTGCTGGCAGTGCTGGCAGTGCTGGGTATTTTGGAAGCGTTGGGGGGAGGAGCGTCAGCAGACACAGCAGCACATGCAGCAGCGTCATCAGCAGGAGCTGCTGCAGGAGCAATAGTACCATCAGCAGCAGCCGAAGCAGCAGCAGTGGTAGCGGCAGCAAGAGGAGCGCCCCCTTCCAGAAGCTTATCCAGGTTACCATGTAACCACAAGTTGAATGAGCTCCGATTCTGCAGGTCCCTGTCCTCCGCGGCCACTGCTGAAATCACCTGATTTTCCACCTGGAAATCCACCTCTGGGTCTCTGCTATTCAGCGCGGCACTGCTGTGCCTACCTGCAACCCACCTCCCGCTTGCACTCCCCCCAACCCCCCTCTCTCCTCCTTCCCTTCCCCCTTCCCCTGACAAACCATCTTCCCCCTTCTCCCCCTCCCCTATGCGCCAAGTCCCCCTGCGTCCCCTTTCCTTCCCCAACAGACCAGCTTTCCCCCGCCCCTCCTTGCTCCTCCTCTCCTCCCCCCTCCTCTCCCTCTCCTCCCTCCTCTCCTCCCCCCTCCTTTCCCTCTCCCCCCTCCTCTCCTCGGCCCTCACCTCTCTAGCTGCTAGCAGCATGCCCTCTCGCTCCTCCCTCTCCCCCGCCCTCGCCCGCTCTCTCATTTCTTTCGCTTCTGCCTTCTGACTCCTCCTCTCAGTGTGTGCAGCAGAAGCAGTAGCAGCACCAGAGATGACAGCAGAGGCACCACTAGTGGCAGCACCAGCAGCAACACCATTTGAGTGGTCATCCTTGATACTACTTGTGGTTGTGCTGGTGCTGCTGGGTGCAGTGACGGTGACTGTGCTGCCACGTGGCAGGTTCTGATTGAACGGAGAGGAGTAGCCATTGCATGCGTCAGCAGGGGCGGTGGAAGGAAACATTTCGGAAGAAGCCACGGGGTGTGTGGCATGCTGCTGCAAGCGAGGCGTGATGTGGAACTGTCATAGGGGCATGGAGAATGGGGCATGGGGCATGGGGCATGGGAAATGGGAAATGGGGTATAGGGCATGGGAAATGGGAAATGGGGTATGGGGTATGGGGCATGGGGGCATGAGCGGTATGCATGGCTGGGGGCATGGAAGCCTAGATACACGGTTGCACATGAATGTTAGTTTGTAAGTGCAAGTGCTTGAAAGCGCTTCCTGTAACCGCCCCCCTTTCAACAGCCCCTCTCATCTCCCTAACCTCACCACTGTCAGAACTTAGGCTTAGAACTGATACATTAGTAGTGAGCTTGAAGCTCTTTAAGTACATCCAAGAAGGGCAAGGAATGGATGGGGAAGGAAATCGGGGGCAATCCCTAGGGATTGGGGGTAATCCCATGGCAATCTCCAATTGGTGGGTTGGAGATTGCTTGGAGATTACATTTGGGTTTGGTTGGGATGTAGGTGTACACCCAACCAAACACAAAGTGCAAACTACACTACTCTAGGATATAAATATATAAAGTACAAAGTGTGAGATTGATGACTAACAATAACACCCCCCCATAGGCGTCAATCGAACTCAGGGTAGAGAGGGTGGAGCACAGAGCCCCATGGCGCCAAGGAGACGGTGATGAGAAACTTTCCCAAGGGGCTTGGTGAACAGATCAGCCAGGTTGCAGTCAGATGCAACATACTCCACATTCAGCTGCTCCCGCTGAACAAGGTCACGGATGAAGAAGTGCCGAAGTTCGATGTGCTTGGTGCGAGTTTGATACACAGGGTCCTGGGAGAGGTGGATAGTACTCTGGTTGTCACACCAGAGGGTGGGGGTGGACTGAGGGAAGCCCAGCTCCTGGAGTAGGAAAGTGAGCCAACGGGCCTCCTGAGCAGCCATGGTGCCAGCGTAGAGCTCTGCCTCACAGGAGGAGAGGGAGACTGCTGACGACCTAGTGGAGCGCCAACTGACAATTCCGCTCCCAAGGGTGAAGCAGTACCCCTGAGAGGAGCGTCGGTCGGTCTGGTCATCAGCCCAGGAGGAGTCAGTGTAGCCTTCCAGCCGAGGAGGGGAGATCCCACCAAGTGTGAGAACGTGAGACTTGGTGCCCTGGAGATAGCGCAGTACCCACTTTGCCGCCTTCCAGTGAAGATCAGTGAAGTGCCCAGGGGCCACGTAGCGAGAGAGGACACTGATTGGATATGCCAAGTCCGGCCGGGTGCACATCATGGCATACATGAGGGACCCAACAAGCTCTGGGTATGGCTCAGAGCAGGCCTCTGGTGTGGGTACAGCTGGGGCTGTGAGGAGGTGTTGCAGTGGCAGAGGGGTGGCAACGGGTGTGCACAGCTCCATCTCAAACCGCTTGAGCACATTGTTGATGTAGAACTCCTGGGAGAGTGAAATGGTGCGAGCCTTGCGATCACGTGTGATCTCCATCCCCAGGTAGTGCTTGAGGTCACCGAGGTCTTTCATCTGGAGAGCCTTGCTCAGGGCCGTCTAGACAGAGGTCATCTGGGCCGAGTCCTTGGCAACGAGGATGAAGTCATCGACGTAGACCAGGATGTAGAATGGCTCAGAATGACGGCGGATGAAGAGAGTCGGGTCATCAGACGATGGGTGGAAGTCCAGGGAGAGAAGGACTTCTTTCACCTTGTTGTGCCATTCGCGAGGGGCTTGCTTAAGGCCGTAGACGGGGCGATTCAGCTTCCAGACAGTGTTGGGAGGGAATTCTCCTGGGAAGCCTTCTGGTCTGTCCATGAACATTGTTTCCTTGAGGTGTCCTTGTAGGAAAGCAAATGAGGCGTCCATGGATTTGATCTCAAAGTCTTCTCGTGCTGCTACATCCAAGAGCGTGCGAATGGTGGGAGGTTTGGATGTGGGGGAGAAGGTCTTGAAGAAGTCGTGGTACTGCTGTTGGGTGAAACCCTTGGCAACGTAACGCGCTTTGAACACCGGGGCCTCATCAGGGAGCTGTTTCACACGAAACAACCACTTGCCCCCGACGATGTTGACTCCTGGAGGTGGAGTCTCGTCGTCGAAGGAGTGGTTGCGGGTGAACGCTTCAATCTCAGCTTCCATGACGGCACGCCATTCGGCTGCATGGGGACCCGAGAGAGCCTCTTGGACGGTGAGAGGGATAGGGATGGTCGGGTTCTCCGCGAAGTTGAGGGAGGGTGAATCAGTGATGTCGGGGAAGATGTGCGAGAGCTGAGGAATGACTGCGTGAAGATCACAGAGCTCCTCATGCCTGTCTTCCAGAAGGGTAGAGGGCACATCCCCCCCAGCAGGAGGAGTCGGAGTGATCGCTGTGCAGCGGATAAGCAGGGCCAGTGGGAGGGCAGCGCCGTGCGAGCGAGTGCCGTGAGCCACCGGAGAGGAGGGTGGGGCAGGCGGTGTTGGAGGGGTTGATTTAGGGGACTTAGGCGGGGGAATTGGTCGCCGCTGGTACGTGATCAGTTTGGGCGACTTTGGTGGAGCGGTTTCCTGGGTGGAAGAGGGGACTGGTGGAGGAGGTGGGGCCGAAGGGTTCAATCGCCGATGGTATGTGATGGGTGCGCTCGGAGGGAGCGGCGCAGCTGGCAGAGGGGGAGGTGAGGGGGATAGAGGAGCGGCTGCCGAAGACACCGGTGAGGTTGGGTCAGAGACCTCAGAGGGGGATGGTGTGATGGCAGGAGAGGGAGGAGGCGAGGGAGATGGTGCAGGCGGGAGTTCGGGAGGCGCATCAAAGTCTGCCCAGACAAGAGAGGGCGGATCAGAGGGAGGAGCCTGACACGAGGTGGAGTAGAATGGGCGAGTCTCATCAAAGACCACGTCGCGGCTCCGAACTAGCTGTTGAGTAGAGGGGTTGAGGAAGAGGTAGTCAGGGGAGTCGGCATTGTGCCCAAGGTAGACACACGTTTGAGTCTTGGGGCCGAGCTTGCCACCGTGGTGCCGCCTAGCCTGAGGGTTGAGGAGGACATAGGCGGTGCATCCCCAGACGCGGAGAGAGCGAGCAGTGGGTGTTTTCTCGAGCCAAAGTGTGGTAGGAGTGGTGTCAAGAAGATGCGGGTGGGGGTAAAGATTGTAGAGGAGGGCAGCATGGTAGAGGGCGGACCCCCAGAGAGAGAGTGGAGCATTGGAGTGGCTGAGGAGGCACCGAGTGATTTGCACCAGGGTGTGGTTGCGGCTTTCTGCTATGCCGTTCTGCTGCGGGCTGTCAGGAAGGGTGAAGTTTTGCTGGATGCCTTCGGAGGAGCAGAAGGCTTTGAGCTTGTCGTTGCAGAACTCACCCCCCCCATCCGAGTGAAGGCGCTTGACCTTGCGGTCAAAGGTGGTCTGTGCCTGCTTGACCCACGCCATGATGACCTCAGGAGCCTCGGCCTTAGTGTGGAGGAGGTGAACAGAGACGTAGCGGGAGTGGTCATCCACGATAACAAGGAAGTAGCGATAGCCACCTCGTGCGAGAACAGGGGCAGGGCCCCAGATGTCTATGTGCACTAGGTCTAGTGGGGCTGCTGCAACTGTGGGTGAGGCAGGATGGGGTTGTTGGCGCAGTTTGCTCTTGGTGCAATCAAGGCACGTGGGAGCGGGTGAGTCAGGTGGTGGAGGAAGTGTGGCTGGCAGGCCGAGTAGAAGTTTCTTGGAGGCCATGTCAGCAAGCGTGCGGAAGTTTGGGTGCCCTAGCCGATGGTGGTAAAGGATGGTCGGGTAGGAGAGGCTGCGACATGAGCACGGTGTGGTGGTAGCCTGTGCTTGGGCGTTTGAAACCTGAGGAAGAGGTACGTGTAGCGTGTAGAGGCCGCTGCTATTGAGGGTGAAGCGGGCCAAGACTTTGTTGGTGAGTGGATCGATGATGTCGCAATAGTCCTCGTTCTCCGAGAAGATGGTGCGTAGCCCCGCATCCTGAATTTCCGTTTGAGCCACTAGGTTGTGGCGTAGTGAAGGCACGCACATGCGAGTGACGGTGCCGGATGGAAAGGCGGGGCATGGGACTATGGAGGTACCCTTGGCGAGGGTGGTGAAGCTTGAGTCAGCTCCTAAGAGAGGGATAGGTGTTGGGTAGGGTTTGAAGGAGAGTGTCTCCTTGAGCACAGTGTGAGTGGCCCCGCTGTCGAGTGTGAACTCTATGTATTGTGGTGCCTGTGATGAGCCGATGTACTGGGAGGTAGCTTCATTAATCATGGCAGTGCCAGGGAACAACAGGTTGATACGCACATCAGCAGGAGCACTATCACTAGCACTAGCCGAAGCGGGGTCCTGGACCTCAACTAGGTTGGCCTTACGAGGGCGCATCCAGTTTGGCGGCTTCTTGTCAACTCCGTGGTAGCATACCACATGAAAGCAGGAGTGGCAGAAAGCGCAGCGCACGACACACAGAACGCAGCTGACAAGACTCAGCTTTTGAGTCGACTCAAAAACAGAACGCAGCTGACAAGACTCAGGGCGACCTTTGCGGGCCGTCAGAAGCAATCTCTATGTCTCCCCCACGCTCACCTCATGGAAGCAGCGGTGGCAGAAGAACTCGCCGCATGGCACACAGAACACCACCGGTGCACATTCAGGCCAAATCTTGAGACGCCTCACAAGCCATTTCTGTTCCTCCCACAAACCTCACCTCATGGAAGCAGCGGTGGCAGAAGAACTCGCCGCATGGCACGCAGAACACAGCTGGTGCACACTCTTGTTGCGGCAGCAGCGCTGCCCTGCCAGCTTCCACTGACCTCTCTTCCCCACCCTGTTGCTGCGTACCCTGCTGCTGCGTACCCTGCTGCTGCGTACCCTGCTGCTGCGTACCCTGCTGCTGCGTACCCTGCTGCTGCGTACCCTGCTGCTGTGTGCGAGCACAGCAGAGGGGGCAGCGGGGCGGTGGCTGCTCCAAGCAGAGGGAGAGCGGATGGCCCAGGTCTGGATTGGGAGGAGGGTGGGGAGACGGGGGGGAGCAAAAGGGCAGGGACGAAGGGAAAGAGGGGAGGGAAGAGGGAAACGAAGGGGTGAGAGGAATGCACGGATTGGCTGAACGAATCCGCCACAGCAGAGGTGCTCAAGTGGTGGAGAGGGGAAGGGGGGATGGTGGAAGGGTGGGTGGGAAAACACCACTTTCATCCTGTCATTTCACCTGAGAACAACCCTTCGATCAGGAAATTACCTGAGATCAGGAGCTCACCTGAGACTATCTTCTCCCCATAGAGTTCCTCCTCTGCTGCCCACTGCATCTGGAGCCATGACAGGACACAGGCGCGAATAGGGAGGAAGGAGGGGGGGGGAGAGGGGGGTTGGGAGAGGTGTTTGACCATGTGGCAGGGACTGAACCTCACTGGGAAAGGAGTTCACCTGTGTGCCAGGAAGCTTTCTGGAAATGTATATGGTTACCAGTGCCGTTCCCGAAACAGTGTACTGCAGCTCTCACCTGTGCCTCGTAGAATTCCACTTCATCATCCCACTCCTCATCCTCCTCCTCTGAATCCTCCTCCGTCTCCTCCCCCTCCCCCTCCCCTCCCTCACTCTCACTCCCTATCTTCAGCAGCCCATCCCTCCTTTCCTCCCTCCCAACTTCCACAACCCCCGCTACCATCCCCTCCCTCTTGCCACGAGCTCGAGGTTCGGCAGCGGGTTCTGGGACAGGCTCGGCGGCAGGTTCGGGAGGAGGGAGGGGCTTTGGAACTGGGACTTGTGGCTTTTCCTTGTCAGTGATTGCAATGATCTGAGGGCAAGCGGAGAAGGGAGGGGGGTGGAAGAAAGGGAGAGGAGGGGAGAGGAAGTAAGGGGAGGAGGGAGGAGGGTGGGGCTTTGGGACCTGTGGCTTGCGACTGGGATTGGGATTGGGATTGGGATTGGGATTGGGATTGGGATTGGGATTGGGATTGGGATTGGGATTGGGATTGGGATTGGGATTGGGATTGGGATTGGGATTGGGATTGGGATTGGGATTGGGATTGGGATTGGGATTGGGATTGGGATTGGGATTGGGATTGGGATTGGGATTGGGATTGAGCTTGGGCTTGGGATTGGGATTGGGATTGGGATTGGGATTGGGATTGGGATTGGGATTGGGATTGGGATTGGGATTGGGATTGGGATTGGGATTGGGATTGGGATTGGGATTGGGATTGGGATTGGGATTGGGATTGGGATTGGGATTGGGATTGGGATTGGGATTGGGATTGGGATTGGGATTGGGATTGGGATTGGGATTGGGATTGGGATTGGGATTGGGATTGGGATTGGGATTGGGATTGGGATTGGGATTGGGATTGGGATTGGGATTGGGATTGGGATTGGGATTGGGATTGGGATTGGGATTGGGATTGGGATTGGGATTGGGATTGGGATTGGGATTGGGATTGGGATTGGGATTGGGATTGGGATTGGGATTGGGATTGGGATTGGGATTGGGATTGGGATTGGGATTGGGATTGGGATTGGGATTGGGATTGGGATTGGGATTGGGATTGGGATTGGGATTGGGATTGGGATTGGGATTGGGATTGGGATTGGGATTGGGATTGGGATTGGGATTGGGATTGGGATTGGGATTGGGATTGGGATTGGGATTGGGATTGGGATTGGGATTGGGATTGCGCTTGGGATTGGGATTGGGCTTGGGATTGGGATTGGGTTTGGGATTGGGATTGGGCTTGGGATTGGGATTGGACTTGGGATTGGGATTGGGCTTGGGATTTGGATTGAGCTTGGGATTGGGATTGGGCTTGGGATTGGGATTGGGCTTGAGATTGGGATTGGGCTTGGGATTGAACTTGAGCTTGGGATTGGGATTAGGCTTGGGATTGGGATTGGGCTTGGGCTTGGGATTGGGATTGGGTTTGGGATTGGGACTGGTATTGGGCTTGGGATTGGGCTTGGGCTTGGGATTGGGATTGGGATTGGGATTGGGATTGGGCTTGGGGTTGGGATTGGGCTTGGGATTGGGATTGGGATTGGGCTTGGGATTGGGATTGGGATTGGGCATGGGATTGGGATTGGGCTTGGGATTGGGCTTGAGATTGGGATTGGGCTTGGAATTGGGATTGGGCTTGGGATTGAGATTGGGCTTGGGATTGGGATTGGGCTTGGGATTGGGATTGGGATTGGGATTGGGATTGGGATTGGGATTGGGATTGGGATTGGGATTGGGATTGGGATTGGGATTGGGATTGGGATTGGGATTGGGATTGGGATTGGGATTGGGATTGGGATTGGGATTGGGATTGGGATTGGGATTGGGATTTGGATTAGGCTTGGGATTGGGATTGGGCTTGGGATTGGGATTGGGCTTGGGATTGGGATTGGGTTTGGGATTGGGATTGGGCTTGGGATTGTGATTGGGCTTGGGATTGGGATTGGGCTTGGGATTGTGATTGGGCTTGGGATTGGGATTGGGATTGGGATTGGGATTGGGATTGGGATTGGGATTGGGATTGGGATTGGGATTGGGATTGGGATTGGGATTGGGATTGGGATTGGGATTGGGATTGGGATTGGGATTGGGATTGAGCTTGGGATCGGGATTGGGCTTGGGATTGGGCTTGGGATTGGGATTGGGATTGGGATTGGGATTGGGATTGGGATTGGGATTGGGATTGGGATTGGGATTGGGATTGGGATTGGGATTGGGATTGGGATTGGGATTGGGATTGGGATTGGGATTGGGATTGGGATTGGGATTGGGATTGGGATTGGGATTGGGATTGGGATTGGGATTGGGATTGGGATTGGGATTGGGATTGGGATTGGCCTTGGGATTGGGATTGGGATTGGGCTTGGGCTTGGGATTGGGACTGGGATTGGGATTGGGCTTGGGATTGGGATTGGGATTGGGATTGGGATTGGGATTGGGATTGGGATTGGGATTGGGATTGGGATTGGGATTGGGATTGGGATTGGGATTGGGATTGGGATTGGGATTGGGATTGGGATTGGGATTGGGATTGGGATTGGGATTGGGATTGGGATTGGGATTGGGATTGGGATTGGGATTGGGATTGGGATTGGGATTGGGATTGGGATTGGGATTGGGATTGGGATTGGGATTGGGATTGGGATTGGGATTGGGATTGGGATTGGGATTGGGATTGGGATTGGGATTGGGATTGGGATTGGGATTGGGATTGGGATTGGGATTGGGATTGGGATTGGGATTGGGATTGGGATTGCGCTTGGGATTGGGATTGGGCTTGGGATTGGGATTGGGTTTGGGATTGGGATTGGGCTTGGGATTGGGATTGGACTTGGGATTGGGATTGGGCTTGGGATTGGGATTGAGCTTGGGATTGGGATTGGGCTTGGGATTGGGATTGGGCTTGAGATTGGGATTGGGCTTGGGATTGAACTTGAGCTTGGGATTGGGATTAGGCTTGGGATTGGGATTGGGCTTGGGATTGGGATTGGGATTGGGATTGGGATTGGGATTGGGATTGGGATTGGGATTGGGATTGGGATAGGGCTTGGGATTGGGATTCGGATTGGGATTGGGATTGGGCTTGGGATTGGGATTGGGCTTGGGATTGGGATTGGGCTTGGGATTGTGATTGGGCTTGGGATTGGGATTGGGCTTGGGATCGGGATTGGGAAGATTGGGCTTGGGATTGGGATTGGGCTTGGGATTGGGCTTGGGATTGGGATTGGGCTTGGGATTGGGATTGCGCTTGGGATTGGGATTGGGCTTGGGATTGGGATTGGGTTTGGGATTGGGATTGGGCTTGGGATTGGGATTGGACTTGGGATTGGGATTGGGCTTGGGACTGGGATTGGGCTTGGGATTGGGATTGGGCTTGGGATTGGGATTGGGCTTGAGATTGGGATTGGGCTTGGGATTGAACTTAAACTTGGGATTGGGATTAGGCTTGGGATTGGGATTGGGCTTGGGCTTGGGATTGGGATTGGGATTGGGATTGGGATTGGGATTGGGATTGGGATTGGGATTGGGATTGGGATTGGGATTGGGATTGGGATTGGGATTGGGATTGGGATTGGGATTGGGATTGGGATTGGGATTGGGATTGGGATTGGGATTGGGATTGGGATTGGGATTGGGATTGGGATTGGGATTGGGATTGGGCTTGGGCTTGGGCTTGTGCTTGTGCTTGTGCGTGCTTGGGCTTGTACTTGTTTGTGATTGCAGAGGGGGAGAAACAGAGAGGAGGGGGAGAAAAAACGGAAACGATGTTCTAAGAAAAAGATTGGAAGAAAGTGGGGGGGGGGAGAAGAGAGCAGGGTGCAGAGAGTGAGGGGAAGACAGGGTGAGGAAGCAAGAGTGTGGGGAAGAGAGAGCGTGTGGAAGAGGGGTGGGGCGAACCTGTTCGAGGGAGAGCGGGTACCAGTGGTCCAAGAGGCCGAAGCAGTTCTTGTGTGCTAGCAGGAATATCTGGTGGGGAGGGGAGGAAGGAGGGGGAGGTTTAGTGGGGAGGAACAGTGGGTGGGGCATGCATGGCATGGCATAGCACAACCCAGTACTCCGCCAGTGATGGCACGACACAGCAGCGCGTACCCGTGCATTCCCACAGCCAAAACCACACCCACACCCAAGCCCACAATCACACCCAAATTCACAATAAGCCCACCCACCACCCAACCACCTGCCTGAGAGAGTTGATGAGCAGACTCTCTGCGCTGTTTTGCACTCCCCAGTACTCCGCCTGTGATGGGATGAGATGGCAGCACCAGCTCACCTGCCCATTCACTCTACACCCCCAACCCCACAAACACCCACCTGCCTCCCCCCACTTAACCGCACCTGCCCCCACGCACCTGCCTGAGCGAGTTGATGAGCAGACTCTCTGCGCTGTTCTGCACTCCCCAGTACTCCGCCTGTGATGGCATGAGATGGCAGCAACACCTACTCACCTTCCCACCTTCCCACTCACTCCAATACCCCATATCCCACAAACACCACCTGCCTGCTCCAGCTTGCCCGCACGTGCCCCCACCCACCTGCCCCACGCACCTGCCTGAGCGAGTTGATGAGCAGCCTCTCTGCGCTGTTCTGCACGCCCCAGTACTCCGCCTGAGCCCGCACCACCTTGTATGCACACATCAGCGGCCGCTCCCTCTTCTGCCACCCCGGGGTTAGGGGCCCTCGCCTGGGGTAGGAGGAGGAATAGTGGGTGGGAGATTAGAGAGGCTGGGGAATGGGGGGAGAGTGGGAAGGGGTGAGGCATGGCCCCACCTTGTACGCACACATCAACGGTCACTCCCTCTTCTGCCACCCCGGTGTTAGGGGGCCGCGACTGGTGAGCGAGGGGGAATAATAGTGGGTTGGAGGTGGGAGGGTGGGGAATGGGGGGGGAGTGGGATAAGACATGGCAGCAACTTGTATGCACGCATAAGGGGTTGCTCCCGCTGCTGCCATCCCAGGGCTAGGACCTCCTCCTGGTGCAAGAGGGAGGATAGAGCGTGAAAGTACACAGAGGGTGGAAAACGGGAAGAGGGATGGACAAGCCACGAGACGTTCAGCACTGACTCACCCTGGCAGGCGTTGACTTTCATGGACCAGCGTTGACTCACCCTGTGAGCTTGGACTTGACCAATAGTGGTCCAGCTCAGCCTTGTAATTTCTCTTAGCCACAGGCTCGCTGCCGATGTCCATCCTGTCCACGTGCCGTAACGCCAGCTCTGCTGGCGACAACCCCAAGGCGTTGACTGGCGTTGACTCACCCTGTGAGCTTGGAGCGGACCAATAAAGGATCCAGCTCGGCCTTGTAGTCGCGTTTAGCCACGGGCTCGCTTCCAGTCCATGCGACATAACGCCAGCTCTGCTGGTGACAACCCCAAGGCGTTGACTGGCGTTGACTCACCCTGTGAGCTTGGAGCGGACCAATAAAGGATCCAGCTCAGCCTTATAATCCCTTTTAGCCACGGGCTCGCTGCCAATGTCCATCCAGTCAATGCGCCGCAGTGCCAGATCTGCTGGTGACAACCCCAAGGCGTTGGGGTGCGAGCCGTCGTCCTGCAGGTGAATGGTCTCTATCTCCATGCGCAGCTGGGGAAGGGGAAAGGGGAGAGGGAAAGGAGATGCCCGGGGCGTTGCAGGTGAATGGTCTCTATCTCCATGCGCAGCTGGGGAAGGGGAAAGGGGAGAGGGAAAGGAGATGCCCGGGGCGTTGCAGGTGAATGGTCTCTATCTCCATGCGCAGCTGGGGAAGGGGAAAGGGGAGAGGGAAAGGAGATGCCCGGGGCGTTGCAGGTGAATGGTCTCTATCTCCATGCGCAGCTGGGGAAGGGGAAAGGGGAGAGGGAAAGGAGATGCCCGGGGCGTTGCAGGTGAATGGTCTCTATCTCCATGCGCAGCTGGGGAAGGGGAAAGGGGAGAGGGAAAGGAGATGCCCGGGGCGTTGCAGGTGAATGGTCTCTATCTCCATGCGCAGCTGGGGAAGGGGAAAGGGGAGAGGGAAAGGAGATGCCCGGGGCGTTGCAGGTGAATGGTCTCTATCTCCATGCGCAGCTGGGGAAGGGGAAAGGGGAGAGGGAAAGGAGATGCCCGGGGCGTTGCAGGTGAATGGTCTCTATCTCCATGCGCAGCTGGGGAAGGGGAAAGGGGAGAGGGAAAGGAGATGCCCGGGGCGTTGCAGGTGAATGGTCTCTATCTCCATGCGCAGCTGGGGAAGGGGAAAGGGGAGAGGGAAAGGAGATGCCCGGGGAGTTGCAGGTGAATGTTCTCGATCTCCATGCGCAGCTGGGGAGAAAGGGTGGGGGGGAGTGGGGACGTGGGGTTGGGAAAGAGATGGTGAGATGGGCGGGTGGTTTTGCTGATGCTGATGCTATGCTGATGCTGATGCTATGCTGATGCTGATGCTGATGCTATGCTGATGCTGATGCTGATGCTGATGCGCTGATGCTGATGCTGATGCTGATGCGCTGATGCGCTGATGCTGATGCTGATGCTGATTCTGATGCTGATGCTGATGCTGATGCTGATGCTGATGCGCTGATGCTGATGCTGATGTTGATGCTGATGCTGATGCTGATGCGCTGATGCTGATGCTGATGCTGATGCGCTGATGCTGATGCGCTGATGCTGATGCGCTGATGCTGATGCTGATGCTGATGCGCTGATGCTGATGCTGATGCTGATGCGCTGATGCGCTGATGCTGATGCTGATGCGCTGATGCGCTGATGCTGATGCTGATGCGCTGATGCTGATGCTGATGCGCTGATGCTGATGCTGATGCTGATGCGGATGCTGATGCTGATGCTGATGCGCTGATGCTGATGCGCTGATGCTGATGCTGATGCTGATGCGCTGATGCTGATGCTGATGCTGATGCTGATGCTGATGCGCTGATGCTGATGCTGATGCTGATGCGCTGATGCTGATGCTGATGCTGTTGCTGATGCTGATGCTGATGCGCTGATGCTGATGCTGATGCTGATGCGCTGATGCTGATGCTGATGCTGATGCTGATGCTGATGCGCTGATGCTGATGCTGATGCTGATGCGCTGATGCTGATGCGCTGATGCTGATGCTGATGCGCTGATGCTGATGCTGATGCGCTGATGCTGATGCTGATGCGCTGATGCTGATGCGCTGATGCTGATGCTGATGCGCTGATGCTGATGCGCTGATGCTGATGCTGATGCGCTGATGCTGATGCTGATGCTGATGCTGATGCGCTGATGCTGATGCTGATGCTGATGCTGATGCGCTGATGCTGATGCGCTGATGCTGATGCTGATGCTGATGCGCTGATGCTGATGCTGATGCTGATGCGCTGATGCTGATGCTGATGCTGTTGCTGATGCTGATGCTGATGCTGATGCGCTGATGCTGATGCTGATGCTGATGCTCATGCACATGCTTATGCTCATGCTCATGCTCATACTCATACTCATGCTCATCCTCATGCTCATGCTCATACTCATGCTCATACTCATGCTCATGCTCATACTCATGCTCATACTCATGGCGAAGGTGAAGGTGATAGTAATGTGAGCACGCACCTTGGAGAAGAAGGGGATGGTGATGATGGTGCGGAAGTAGGGGTAGTTGATCCAGCTCTTCTCATCCACCACCAGCGCCGATGGCGGCACCAGCCGGTTCACCTGCACGCATGCACACATGCACACAGCACGTGCATGCGAGCCAGGTGAACGCAGCACACAGCGCATGGGCAAAACACATGCACGGAAAAAAGCCTTTGGATCGATTCATCGTTCCGCGGCTGCTGTGCCTGCAGAGAAAACAGGTTCAGTCAGCAAGATAAGTGTTCAGCGGCGGGTGATTGGCGAATGCGTACTCAATCAGGGGGGATTCTCACCCAGTCAGGGAGGCGGTTGCCGAGGCGGAAGAGGCTGTGCGTGAAGAGGCCCTCCCCGTGCTGCTCATGGTAGTAGGGCGTTGATGACAGCAGCTGGGGGCGACAGGGGGGCGGATATGGGGCGAGTGTGTGAGAAGGAGAAGAAGATGGAGGGTGAGGAGGTTGGGGGAAAAGGAGGCTGGGGAGGAAAGAGGGGATGTGATGGTGGGGAGTCGGGAGGGCGATAGCGAGAACTAGGGCAGGGAGCCGAAGCACAGAGATAGAGGGGGGGTGGTGGGAGGAGGGGCAGGCAGAGAGGAAGAGGTGGAGGGGAAGAGATGGCACGGAGTGGAGGAATGGAAGAGAGGGCAAGGAAGGGCAGGAGTGGGGGAGGAGGGCGACTGACCGTGCCGCCCTGGCCGGGCTCCGTGGCATCCTCGTTGGTGCGCCAGTTGGCGTAGCGCTGCCCGCGCTTGAACTCCTCCACTGCGCACTCCCCCCCCCGCCCCCCCCCCGCACTCCCCCGCCCCGCACTCCCCCGCCCCGCACTCCCCCGGCACCCCGCCGCGCGCGCGCCCCGTGGCGTCCCGTTCCTCCCCATGCCGTGCCATGTCGTGACATGCCATGTCGTGACATGCCATGCCATGCCATGCCATGCCATGCCATGTCATGTCATGCAATCATACCATGTCATGCCATGCCATGTCATGCAATACCATGTCATGCAATACCATGTCATGCAATACCATGTCATGCAATCATACCATGTCATGCAATCATACCATGTCATGCAATCATACCATGTCATGCAATCATACCATGTCATGCAATACCATGTCATGCAATCATACCATGTCATGCAATACCATGTCATGCAATCATACCATGTCATGCAATACCATGTCATGCAATCATACCATGTCATGCAATACCATGTCATGCAATCATACCACCATGTCATGCAATCATACCACCATGTCATGCAATCATACCATGTCATGCCATGCCAACGAACGTGCAAGGAGAAGGTATCGAAATAATCAGCGGGGAGAAGAACCAGCGGAAGGGGAAGGGAGTGGGGGACATGGCGGAGCGGGAAGGGAGGCGAGGCGGAAAAACAACCAGCTGCTTATCCAGACGCGCTTCCGCGCCTATCGTTCCACGCGGCCTCCACATTTTCCCCGTCGACCCACCCCCCCGGCCCTTGACACGCACATGTGAACGGCAGCACGATCCGCAGCTCCGTTAGGTGCACCATTGACACGTGGCAACGCTGTATTGGGCTCGCGACAGTGTAAAGGATAGCAGAAGCTGCGGCTGGGGGAGGACAGAAGAACAGCGAATTGACTACAAAAGTAAACCGCGGGTTGACTACTACTGTAACCGTGGAGCCCAATCGCCTAGCGCAGTTTCAGGGGGTCGGTGAGAGGGGAAACTGTGCTTGCGGGTCGATTTACTGAGCATGTACGGAAAGCGGCAAGTAAGACGGAGGAATGTGAAGTTGATGTAATTTGACAACAATAGTGTTCTGTTGGGTGGGAGTGTCAAGTGAAGTGAAGCTTGTTGAAGCGGAACGGAACGCGAGGCGATCAGAAATGTGGGCGAACCGCCTGTACCGTTTTCGCGCAAAGAAAGTTCCGCGCAGCTGTACGGATGACCTGGAAAATTGGGTTCGCGCTCGCGGAGACAGAAGGAGTGCGGGGAAGCGGAAGCGGGTATTGTGCTAGCGGGCGCGAGGAGGGGGAACAAGGTTTGGGGGGAACAAGGTTGAGGGGGAACAAGGTTTGGGGTTGATGAATGTGCACACTGATGAAGTTTGTTTGGCGAGAAACCTGCCACGTAGAAGTCGCGGCAGTCGCCACGTTTGGCTATCTCGAGCGTTGTTACACTTTCCAGCGCCGGGCTTGTTGCGTTATCCTATCAGGACGAGGCTTTTACCAAAACCTTGTTGCGTTATCCTATCAGGACGAGGCTTTTACCAAAACCTTGTTTCCACTTATTGGTATATTGAGCTGAGCACGAATAATTTCAGTTCATAATGTTAGTATACACAGACAACTAGGTCATACATACAGTAGCGAAGTCATGTCTATTCCCATCCCCTAACCCACATTTCCTTCAAGTAACTGTTGACATTCTATGCACGGCCCTTTCAAAGAATAACATGACTAGGGCTGTTGTGCATAGCACTTGTTCTTCTTGATCATCCCGTGCACCTTCCTCGCCAGCCCCTGATAGCTGGTTACCACCGTCATCCTCACTCCAGACAGCCGAGGATAAATTCGTTCGTATGCCCCGATTTCAAACTCATGCCCCTCACGAAAATAGACGAGGTGGGTGCCGCCAAAGTAGCTCTGGAGTGTGCAGCCCCCTCCCTGCACACTCACGAAACACGCACTCCTTGCCAGCATCCTGAACTGCACATCGTTAAAACTCAATCCTGGCCACCGCTTCTGGAGGTTCTGCATGATCTGGAACCGTGGATTCTCCCCAAACCGCTGCTGCAGCGCCTCATAATCTCCCAAGTCCTTTTCATCACGGATCACTTGCCAGGCGTCAAACTGCAGCGACATTCCCGGGTTGTTGTACACCACATAAAAACCAGCCTTCAAAAACGAGTCGACGATTGTCAATAGAGTTGGTAAATCGATAAAATTTACCGGTGCGTGCTTGTATTCCCGCTCGTATTTATTCCCGATAACCACCAGCTGGGATCCCATAGAAATCTCTGGCCACGCGGAAGGAAGCTTCCTGAAGTGGTTGGCAAGAGGGGGTGCCTGCCAGGCTGGCGGGAATTTACCTCCATAAAAGCCATGCATCGCATCCTTGAAATCCTTGCTGGCTCGACGACACGTGGCATTGTTTGTGTGGTTGGGGCTGAAGTAGTAGAGCATAGACAAGGAATCACGCCCACAGGAGGTGGTGGAGCGGAGCGAGCCGTTCAAATGGTGCCAGTAGGCCAGTGGGAGGACGGTGAGTAGCTCGTAACCGAATTCCACTGTATACGAGATGTCCACCCCATCCTCAACACCATGGCTATGCTGACCTTCCTGGACTTCCTGGTCGCCTTGGTGGGCGGTGCGCCTATACTGCTCCGCTGCTTCTCCTGATGCTGCTTCTACTTTTGCAGCTGCGGCTTCCAGTGCGGCTTCCTTTGCGGCTGCTTCAAGCGCTGGGGTGGGGAGGACAGGTGCGGATGTAGGGACGGTGGAGGGGAATGAGGGGGGGTGAGGTGTAGGAAAGGGTTGACATGGGCGGAAGTAAGGGTCCCTTACTGACGACGACTATACCGTATAAATTCAAACTGTCCCGAATCCGTCTCCAAAAGCGGAAAGAAAAAAAAAAAAAAAAAAAAAAAAACATTGCGGACAAAATCATGTGACATCGGATATTTATTCAATGATTTAGTCAAAGCATACCCAATACGATCACCACCAAATGTGAAACGCAAACGGAAAGTCCCGAAAGTGACGTAATTGTGACTTCGGGCTTGTGGATTTCTGGGAGCTGCTTGAAACTTTTTTGTGTGCTTTTTGTAGAAAAACCTTCGGGCCTCCAAAAACTGCGCTTGCCTTTTCCGCGATGCAATAGTAAAATTCTCGCAGTTAAAACAGCGATGACGCTCAGCATCAGCCACCAGAGCAATCGCTTCGCGCCTGCGCGGACGAAGCCGCGGCCATTCGAGGCTACTAGCCCCGTCAACCGCCAAAGAATACTTCTTCCCTCGGCACCTTCGTCGGTCTCCGCTTCGAAGCGCGCCTTTTCTGAATCGAGCTTTATTTGCTGCTTGTGACAATCATGATGCCGCCGGGGAGCCATCAGAAGGGTTAGAGGAAAGACGACGGTAGCGGTTCAGCGAGGACGGAGGCTGGGGAGCGGCATCAACGGAATGCCACGCTAAAGATCCCGCACTAAAGATCTCCAACAACAGTCTACTGTACACACAACCATTTCGAGACTTCACGTGAGGCGAAAGAGGGATGATGGCGCAGCGATGAGTGGGAGTGCTCTTGACGCGACGGAAACTGACGCCAGAAACTGACTCTGGGAGCTCGACGAATCACAGGCAGGCTGAAAACTGCCGCGCATCACAAATGTACGGAGCACCAAGCGAGGTGGGACGCTGGGCAGTTGGAAAGACGAGGATCAACGGAGGGGAGGGGGAGGCAGACTGTCTGCCGCAACAAATTGCACCAGCAAGCGGAGCGGATCTGCGTTGAACAAACAGAGCAAAATGGCGCGAAATGCAGCGAGATGCTTTGTTCCGATTTGGCGTTTGAGCGAAATGAGCGGCGCTGCGCTTTCCTCCAGTGGCGAAGAAGCCAATTCTCGTTGACCACCGCCGACCTGCTTATCACGTGTGGGGGCAGTGCGGTGAGGCGGTGGTGGTGAACTGACCTACAAAAAACATGCTACTGTACAGACTGGAGAGCCTAGGAATAGCTTTTCTTAGGTTTGGGAATGTACTTACCACGCTGGAGCATTCCGAGGTCCCTTCCCAAGTTTCTTCACGTCAAGTGCATATCCTCGGTACTTACATAAAGCCCAATCTCTGTTTGCTGCTGGTCGGGAACGGGTGTCGATCTTGTAAGCTACACTACAAAGCAGTCACAAAAACGGCTGCTGGTCAGTGACATTACAAACGGCCAAAGCAGTCACAAAAACGGCCAAATCTACCACGTGTAAGGTGCAGTCGTCTCCACGTTTAGCTTCCTCGAGTGCTCGAAAAAGGTTCTAACACCATACCTAGTTGTATCAAACCTTTACATGGTTTTTATGATTTCAAGAAAAACTTTGATCATTTTATTTGCTTGGCTAGATTGCACATGCACTAACTTCATTCATCACTATGTAGTTTACGTTTGCAATTAGGGGTCTGGTAGTAGTATGCATCCAACACCCAGTATTGCGTATTCATATCCTGTGACCCAGTTTTCTCCGCAAAATTACTGCTGAAATCCTGCAAAAGAGTCCCTTCCTTCTGGCCCCACAAGAGGGCACATGCTAGTGAAGTTTAGCATGGCACTTGTTCTTCTTGATCATCCCATTCACCTTCCTCACCAGCCCCTCATAACTGGTTACCACCTTCAATTTTGCTCCAGACAGCTGTGGGTAAATTCTCTCATACGCCTTTCCTTTCACCTCCTGCCCCTCACGAAAGTAAATTATATTCTTTCCGCCAAAGTAGCTCTCCACAATGCTGCCCCCTCCCTGCACACTCACAAAACACACACTCCGAGCCAGCATTCTGAACTGCACATCGTTGAATCCCAAATCTGGCCACCGCTTTTGAAGGTTTTGCATGATCTGCAGCCGCGGATTCTCTCCAAACCGCTCCTGTAACGCCTCATAGTCCCCCAAATCCGTGCCGTCCTTAATAACCTGCCGATGGTCTGATTCCAGTGACATCCCGGGGTTGTTGTACACCACATAAAAGCCCACCTCTAAATATGACTCAACTATTCCCAGTAAAGCCGGTAAATCGATGAAATTTACTGGTGAATGACCCCACTCCCGCTCGTATTTATTCCCGATCACCACCAACCGGGATCCCTTGGGAATCTCCGGCCACACAGAGGGAAGCGTCCTGAAATAGTGGGCAAGAGGGGGCGGCTGCCAGGCTGGAGGGATGCGACTATAATGAATGCCGTGAGGAAACCCGTATGCAGTGACATTGTCCTTCATGTCACTTCGATGACACGTGGCGTCGTCTGTGTGGTTGGGGCTGAAGTAATAGAGTGAGGCCAAGGAGTGCCGCCCGCAGGAGGTGGTGGAGCGGAGGGAGCCGTTGAGATGGTGCCAGTAGGCAAATGGGAGGACGGCGATTAACTCGTACCCGAACTCGCCCTGGAAAAAAATGTCCACTCCATCTTGGGATTGGGAAGAGGGCTGTGCCAGCTCTGGTTGACTGGGGGGGATGGGGGGCTGTGGTGGATGAATGGCGTTAGTTTTCGTGAGCGGCTCAGATCTTTCTCGTGCTGGCTCAACTGCTTTTGCATTTGTGGTTCCGTCTGCTGCGGCCGCTTCTGGCGTTGCTGCTGCTTCATTATTTGCTTCTGTTTCTTTAACTGCTTCTCCGTCTGCTGATGTGGTAGCTGCTGTCCCTTCATCAATCACCTGTTTTTCAGCTGACGCCCCTTCATTCGCATCCCCGCTTCCGTCCTCCATGCTCGTGTGGCTCGCACGTCTCTCCGTCTCTCCTCCTTTCTCCCCGCTCTCGCTAGAAGCAGCACCATTTAGTCTCCCTTTCCCCCCCGCCGCTACCCCATCCCCCAACCCCATCCGCTCTGCTCCCTCCCCCTCCACCTCGTCGCTTCCACCGACCAGGTTCCCCGCTGCTGTCGCCGTGGTCCGTACCACCACGCGATCCATACCCAGCTCCGCACCTACTCGCGCTGAGTCTCCCCGCCGTTCCGCCATATAACAGCCCCAGATGCGCCACGGCGCAACGGCGGCGTTTCCGCCGTCCCCCCACGCTGTGCGGCGGAGGAGGAACTGGCGCAGCGGTACTGTGCGGGGGGCATTGGCAGAAGAATACACCGCGGACTCATTTCCTGAAAGGAACGTGGGGAAGAGGGGCGGACGGCGATTAAAATCCGTGAAGAGTTGTTTAGTGGAAGCCGCGAGAAGGATGAATAAGCAACGGACAGCGATCGGAAAAAAAAAAACAGAACGGCGGAGTGCACCGTGACTTGTGCTTAAAAAAATATCGTCATTTTTGCACTTCAATAATAAAAAGAGTATGCGCACGAGCAGCTATAGATTCAAAACCAAGACGCATGTACAAGCCGCGGGGCCTAAAAATGAACTTGAGTCGGGGGGGGCAAGGCATTATCGCAAAGCAAACGGGAGGGCAAACGCAAAACGCATCAGCACACACTCACCAGAGGGGTGGTCGGCGTGGAGCGGCGGATCGACCATGCAGTCGAGAGGCGAGCCTGACGCGCGGGTGAGTGCGCACAAGGGGCGCGGTGGGAACGGACAGGGGAGGAAGGGGGAAAAGGGAGAGGGATGAGGGGAAGGCGGCGAATGGGCAGTGAAAGAGGGACGGGAGATGAAGATCTGTACATGTTCGACACTGTATGATCCAAGTGAACCAAGTGATGCTCACGGTGCGTGTGTAAACCAAGTGATGCTCACGGTGCGTGTGTAAACCAAGTGATGCTCACGGTGCGTGTGTAAACCAAGTGATGCTCACGATACGTGCGACATGCGTGTGCCTGGGTAATTCTCTCAAAAGTGATGCAAGTGGTGCTGACGCATGTATACGGCACAGAAGAAAAGGTGGCGAGGGTGACTAGCTCCAGGCGAGGGACCGAGAGTTACGGCGGAGGAAGGGGACGTGCGTCTCTTACCCGAGAAGAAGATCTTAGCTGTTAATGACGCAGCGATTACGGCCAGCATCAGCCCGCGACCAAAGTATTCTCTTCGCGCCTCCGCGGACAAAGCTCTTCGACGCTAGCACGGTCAACCAGAACGGTTTTCCCGTGGGTGATAGAATCGCGCGATCACAGCAACCGGAATTTCCGAGGCCACGCGAACACGCATCTTCTTCGTCGGAGTACGAGATGTTGTTTTTGTAACAGGCGATGCCCGTATGGTTACATTCCGTAGCGTTTCGCCCACCGTTTGCTGGCATTCCGGGCTCGACAGCAGCGTCCCAGGAGCGCTTGGAACATCGGGGACTATGATTAGCCATCCGATCCATGCTAGGAATAAGTCTCCGCAAAAGGGGAGATTTGCGTTGTAGCGTTTCAAAACTCTTGTCCGCGTGAGGAGAGAGAAAAAGGTCAGGTGTTGTGTGCAAGGGAGGGCTATTTCTGAGATTTGGGGATTGTAGAACTGGGCCAATGTTTGAGGCGAGGGTCCCGGAATGTTCCCGTGAAGAAGTGACGGATTCAGGCGCGTCGCATTGAAAGACGGCGGCGGCAATGTTTCTTGCAAAGGCGAAGGGGCTAGGGTTGACGGAAGGAATCCTCATACGATTGGTGGTTTTCTTCGCCGACGGGGACAGTTGGTTCGGTACCTTGGCTGAACGTCAACCATTTGGCTTTGCTCGTTGATACAGCCCCCTTATCGGGCTCGGGCAGAACCGTAAACGCCAGTGAATGAGGCGGGCAGAGTTTATTCACTTCAGCTTTTATATAGTATCGTTCAATCTTGCCAACTTTGCCTAAACCTTGCAAACCGCCACGTAAACGCGCAACTGTAGACTGTATTTCATTGCCCTAAAGAAAAGTACACTCCCTATCACAAGGGCCGAAATTGGGCAAGGGTGTACTGTACTTGTTGGCATCGCAGCGCGATCGTTCGGCCTAAAGCAGCGGTTCGTTGAGCCCCCTTGGTTGTTGACAACAGTTCCTCTTGCTCTTTGAACGACGTGACCTCGAAGCGTGCGAGTGATGCGATAGGCGATTCGTATTGTCTATCCGGCACCTCGTCGCAAACCCGTGATTCCTGCGAACGACGACTACGATCTTTGACGATCCTTGATTGCGAAAGGGACCATGTGAGCTCTCCCGTGAGCTGTTGATTTGCAGGCGGTTCCAAATATACGCCCCTAGAGTCGTCTCATTTTCACCCATCGATTACTGTGTTTAGTTTGGTTTGGGTTATTAAAAGAAACCATTCATGAAGTGATGCAATACATTTCAAAGCCATTATTAGCAGTTGGTGAGACGCACACCTAAGTACTCTTCAGCCATATACCTACACGGTAGTCCCATCTATGCCATCAGTCAGAGGCTGTTATCGACTTTTGAATAGCAGTTGTTTTTCTTTATCATCCCGTCCACCTCCCTCTCCAACCCCATATAGCTGGTCACCACCGTTACCTCAGCTCCAGACAGCTGGGGGTAAATCCTATCATACGCCTTGCCTTTCACCTCCTGCCCTTCACGAAAGTATACAATGTTCCGTCCACCAAAGTAGCTCCCCACTATGCTGCCTTCTCCCCGTACACTCACGAAACATGCGCTCCGCGCCAGCATTCTGAACTGCACTTCGTTGAAGCTCAATTCTGGCCATCTCTTTTGAAGGTTCTGCATCATCTGCAACCGTGGATTATTCCCAAACCGCTCCTGCAGCGCCTCATAGTCTCCCAAGTCTTTCCCATCCCGAACCGCCTGCCTGGGCAGCTGCAGTGACATCCCCGGGTTGTTGTACACCACATAAAAACCAGCCTCTAAATACGCGGTGACGATTGTCATTAGCGTTGGTAAATCGATGAAATTTATTGGAGAACGACCCCACTCCCGCTCGTACTTATTCCCAATGACCACCAACCGGGATCCCTTGGGAATCTCCGGCCATACAGGGGGAAATTTTCTGAAGTGGTGGGCAAGAGGCGGCGGCTGCCAGGCTGGCGGGATGCGACTGTAGTGTATGCCATGAGTAAAATTGTAGGCAGCGACATTGTTCTTCATGGCACTTCGATGACACGTGGCGTCGTCTGTGTGGTTGGGGCTGAAATAGTAGAGCGAGGCCAAGGAATGCCGCCCACAGGAGGTGGTGGAGCGGAGGGAGCCGTGGAGATGGTGCCAGAAGGCGAATGGGAGGACGGCAATCAGCTCGTACCCAAACTCGCCCTGGAAGAATATGTCCACCCCACCCGTGCCATCCGTGCCATCCTGGGATCGCGAAACATGTTGTGGTTGAGTGGCAGGATTGAGGGGTTGTGGTGGATGGCTTGCGTGGCTCTGATGCTCTGCTGCTACTTCTGCTGCTGTTTCTGCCGTCTCTACTGCTTTTGCGGTTGTGGAACCTACTGCTGCGGCTGTTTCGATCGCAGTTGCTGCTGCATCGCCTACTCTCCTTTCCCCATCCACCACTACCCCATCCACCAGCTCCCCCAGCACTCCCCCCCCCCTCTCCACACCTCCGCTTCCCCCAAACCAGCTCCCCCCATCTCTACCCCTCCGATTCCGCGCCACCACTGTATCAATATACAGCCTCGTCCTTATCAGTTGCGCATTTTCTCCCGGCACTTCCCCCGCATGGCAGCCCCAAACGCGCCAACGCGCGGCACCAGTGCTTCCGCCGTAGCCCAACGGTCGGCGGCGGAGGGGGACATGGCTCTGCGGGAGTGTGTCGGGCGCGTAGGCGGGAATATCGACCACTGACTCTATCCCTGGAGTGGGCGGCACGTGGGGAAGACGGGGGGACGACGATTGCGATGGTGAGGACGGCTTGAGGGGAAGAGAGGCATGACTCCTGGGATAATTTCAAGACACCAACAAATGTGGAAGGTAAGTCCTGGAGAGAAATCAGGGGAATCAACAGCAGAGGGGAATGGGGGGAAGCAGGAATGGGTGGAAGCAAAAGCGGGAAGGAATGGGGGGAGGAAACAGCAGAGAGGAATTGCGGGAAGCCACAGCGGGATAGGATGGGGGGAAGCAACAGCGGAGAGGATTGGGGGGAAGGAACAACGGAGAGGAATAGGGGGAAGCAACAGCGGAGAGGAATGAGGGTAAACAACAGCAGGAGTGGGGGGAAGCAACAGCGGGAAGTAATGGGGGGAAGCAACAGCGGAGAGGAATGGGGGGAAGCAACAGCGGAGAGGAGTGGGGGGAAGCAACAGCGGAGAGGAGTGGGGTAAACAACAGTGGAGAGGAATGAGGGTAAACAACAGTGGAGAGGAATGAGGGTAAACAATAGCGGAGAGAGATCGAAGAAGCAAACCAATGGTGGTTTGTGTTCCGAGATTCGTGCTCAAAATTAGCGCTTTTGCGAGCGCGAGTCACAGATGGGAACAAGGCGGTAGCATGCGGGCCTGGCTTACCGCCGCGCACTCACACGCGGGTTGGGCGACGTCGCGCGGCGGATGGTCCTCGCAGGCCAGCGGCGGGCCTGGCGCGGCTGGTGAGTGCGAACAGGGGGCGTGGGGCGGGGAGGACAGGGCGGACACAGGGTGGGTGGGTGGAGAGACGAAGCGAGGTGCGCGGAAAGTTTAATGGGGCCCTTTCGGGAAGGGTATGTGCAAAAAAAGCCTAGTAACACTGGATGAAGAGACGCACGTGATAGGAGATTTTTGTCTCATGCTCTGTCAGGGCAAAAGGAGCGGTATGGAATCCCGAAGCAGTCATTCAGGGTGAAACGGAATGAATCGACCGTGATTTACGGGGAAGACGGCGGCGAGGGAAGGACGGCGAAAGAGGAAGGCGTTACTACATGTACCCGAGAAGAATAATATTGTAGCAAATAGAGAAGCAGCGGCGACTACCAGTGTCAGCCACCAGAGCAATCGCTTCGCGCCTCCGCGTGGCACGAGTTCCGGCTCGACATTAGCATCGCCGCAGCGCTTGGAGCAGCGCGGACCTTGATTGGCCGTCCGATACATGCTAGGAATAGGGATTGTTCTTAGTCACACGGACAATGCATGGAGGAAAGCAATGCGGAAAATGCAAAGTGGATCTTTGCGTCACGCAACGGTTGCACTGTAATGGAGAACAGCATTTCAAAAGTGTTGCCCGCACGAGGGGAGACGAGAGGTGAAGGGTACGTCGGAGGGACGGCAGGTTCTGACAATTCAGGGATGGTTCAACCAAAGAGCCAGGGCGCGGAGAGTTGGCGAGGCGACGCGATAGCCTCTGACATCACAGAAGCATTCATATCCACATACAACCATGCGTCACCGAAGACGATTCCTTTGCACCAGTTGATCTGCAGCCGATCTGATCAGGCCCGACTCATGCGGTTCGCGATTCGCGTTGGCATTGCTGGTGTGAGGTCCTTGCGACACATTGCGATCACTGCGATTTTCCACGACCGTTGCTTGTGATTTGCGGTACCCATCGCCAAAGAACCACACACACTGTACTTTGTGCAATATAAGTCTTATCCCCCCTTCGTGGTGCAATGCAGAGCAAACCACAAATGACGAAGGGACTATACTTGTGAAGTATTGAATATGACACGAAAGAACGTCAAGTTAAGCATTAACACAATACAATACAATCCATAAACATAAGCAGCTGGTGCCAAGGACCTGCAATCCTCCTCCAAATTCCGTCCACAGAGGGCCTTCTGTAGCCTTGTTACCAGCAAAGAGGCTCGAGAATGGGCCAATTTGCTGGAAACAAGCGAAGAGGCGGAGGATGGAAGGTCCACGCACAGCCTGCCTGCACCAAACAAAAGACTAGACTACCAGCACAAAAAAAGGAAAAAGGAAGCAAGCAAAGAACAAACAAAGCAGCATTCAAGCTGTCTCGGCACAGAAGCTTGTCCATGTGAATGCTGAAAGGGACCTGCTGGCAGCTGCCTTGCCATGCCACCACCCGCAGAACTTCCTCAGCCATTGAAGCACAAGAAGTCGTTGCAGCATGGACACATGCATGCATGTTGCCGACATGCCAATGTAGCACATCATTCACGTCATGCGCGGTTGTTCCCCGGCGAGACGGCGGAGTGGCCGATGAAGGTGACCAGGTGGGCCATCAGCTTGTCCTTGCGGCTGCATGGGGGGGAGTACAGGGGGCGGCCACAGGGGAAGGCGAGGGGAAGAAAGGAAGACAGGATCATTCAGGGGAAGTGGGAGCGAGGTAAGAAAGCCAGAGGACACAAGGGAGTGATGAGCGAACAGTGGGAGCAAACAGAGGCCAGCAGTTCATAACATCAAGGCGCTTGTTAACAAGAATCTGCCCAATAAATTCCCTTCAAAGCGCTCACCTGAAGCGGGAGCCACAGGAGCAGGTCCAGCTGGTGAGCCCGCAGTGCTTCTCATGCGTGCGCAGATCCGCCAGCACCGCAAACCGCTTGGCGCCGCCACAGCGCGAGCACGCGAGCAGCTTGGGGCAGTGCGAGCGGCGGTAGTGGTTGCGCACGCACAGCACCGTCTTGAGCGGCTGAAAGGCTGCATGCTCCCGGTGGCGCTTGCACCCCGCTACAGGGCAACTGAAGCGGCACTGGGCCGGGTCCACGGGGGGCGATGGGAAGGACGAGAAGGGAGGAGGAGACGCTGCTGGGTGATTAGGGGTCACGCGGCCGTGAGCCTTGATGTGCATGCGCAGGTTGGCCTCGCGCTTAAAGCCCTTGCCGCAGGTGTCGCAGAAGTGCATCTGGTCGTTGGTCAGCTCTGACACCCGCAACTCCACCACCATCCACTCCCCCACACGCACGCCTTCCGCTCCCCACCCTGCCCCGCCGCCGCTGCTTCCTCCTGCCGCCTCCCCGTCGCTGTCGCTGGCACTGGCTGTGGCCGTGACGGTGGCTGTGTCTGCCTTGGAGCCATCGCAGCCCTCTCCCATGGACTCTCCGCCTGATGCTGCTGCTGCCGCTGCCTCTGATGCTGTGCCAGACGCTGACCGGGATGCTGTCGGAAACGTTATGGTTGGGGCTGCTTCTTCCCCAGAGGCATCAGCTGCCTGGCTCTCCGCCATCTTAGCTTGCTTCAGTGGCCCTCCCCCCATTGCTGCCTCCATTTCACAATCATATTCCCTTCCCCTCTTGCTCCCTCCCGCTCTGCCCTGCTCTCCCTCCTTGTCTACTCCCTCCTCTCCCGCCTCAGCGTCATCTTTCACCGTGCTGGCGCCGGCCCCGGATGCTGCAACGGAAACGGGTGAAGAGAGGGGAGGGGGAGGGTGGGGAAGGAGAGGGGCGGCAGCAGGCCCCGCAAGAGGGTCAGCAGGCGCAAGCGGAGCAGGCGGAGGCGCGGCTGACGGGGAACCGGCGTCGGGTGCAAACATAGCGACAGCAGGAGGCAGAGGAGGAGAGGGAGCGGTGGGGAGCGCTAGTAGCTTCTGCTCGTGCTGCTGCTGTTCCTGTTGCTGCTGATCCTGCAGCTGCAGCGCTTGCGCCAGCGCCATCATCATCGCCTCCTGCATGTGCGGCTGCTGCTGCACCCCTTCCGCCTCCGCTTGCCCCTGCGCCTCCGCCTCGACCTGCCGTTTCTCCGCAGACTGATCCGCATTCCCCAGCTCAGCGTATTTCTGCGCTGATTGCTCCTGCTCCGCGCGCATCTGTTCCGCGCGCACCACCCCCGCGATGTCGGGCAGCAGAAGCTGCGCCTGCAGGCGCGGCGGAAGCAGCCCCACGGCGGCGAGCGCCACCTGCTGAATCACCGCCGCCACGCCCACCGCCGCCGCCTCCTGCTGCTCGCGCACGGCAGGTTCGGGGCCGCTCTGCGCCACCAGCGGAATCAGCAGCTGCAGTGCCGCAATCTTGCCCTGGAGCGACCCCAGTGCTGACATCAGCGATGCAGGGGAAACGTTGGTGGCTGACGTGGCAGTGGGAGTGAACCACGCTGCTGGCACGTGGCCGCCACATTCCGTGGTTTTCGTGCCCGTGCCGTGCGCGGCAGCAGCGCTAGGCGGCGGGCCCGTGAAGGAAGCGGATGGCGGAAGAGTCAGAAGGGGGATAGCGGGCGCAGCGTTAGCGGGTCCAAAAGATGCGCCAGCGGCGTAAGCGCTGGTTGCTGCGGAAGGGGTCACTCCCCCGAGGCTTCGGCGGCTAGCGCAGCCGCCGCCGGCGGAGGTGGCGGCGGAGGGGGAAGTGCTGAGGCAGGAGCCGTCGTTGCCGTGGCCTACTTGCCACCGTGGCTTCTCCTGAGGATTCCCCTGAACATTCTCCTGAGGCTGCAGGTTCAGATGCAGCGGATCCCATCCGTTCGTTACACATGTGGCAACGGTGGCGGTATTGTTGGTGGAGACATCGGCGGAAGCGGAGATGTTCTTGCGCGCAATGGCTTGGATCAGCGGAGTAGGCGGAGCCTCCGCAGCGCCTTCCACGATCATTCCCTCCTCCCCCATAGCGCCCCAACTGTCACCCCCGTTCTCCAACCCCCACTCCTTCTCGCTGCACTTTCCGCCCGCCCATTCTCCCATCAAACCGCCGCCCCATTCGTTGTTTTCCGCGGATCCGGCCGCCGTGCACGGAAGCGGCGCTTGGTGAAAGCTGAATCCGTCGACGAGAGGGATTTGCGGAGGGGAGACGGTCGCCCACACGGCGGCGGTGCCCGCGGCGCCGTCATTCTCGAGGTCCATTCGTCCGCGCCTTCTCGGACGCGGAAGGGCGTTCGGCGGAGCGAATCGGGATGCTGCGGAGCGCGATGACTCAACACGGTACCCAGCACACCGCGTATAGGAAACAGTTGGTTAGGAAAGGCTTCTCGCGGTGGCTTCAAGTGCCCCTTATGGACCCTACCAGCCCAAGAACGGTCATGCTGCTCTCGAGCTACCGTTTTTCGTTCTAAGCTGATAGGGTCTATTGTGGACTGATTCACGATTCGCAAAATGGCGGACTGGAAAGCGACAAGAAGTGAGAAGATGGCGGCGTTTACACCTAGGTGAAACAGCGACCACACTTACGACGGACTGCTTTTGAGGCGTCTCGACAGCTGTAGGTACTAAGGACTGCCTGCCGGGCTGCTAGCATCGTCAAGGGCTTGACGTATGGTCTGGTCGAGGAATCTGTAGGCAGTCCAGCTGCTCTGTGTTGCCCGTCTACAGCTAGAACACTACGCGGCGAGAAAGAATTGTGTGGAAGATGGCTGGTTGTATCAATCGCACAAGATAGGTGGTGGGTGGGTGGCGGTGGAAGGGAAGCAAGAGGGGCGTGAGGGGGAAAAAGGGCATGTGTGGGGGGCGAACGGCCCAAGTGAGTCACTGAAATGAACGGGCGGATGGCAAATTATTAAAACCTGAAATGTGCAGATCGTAGGGCTATCCGCAGCTCTTATTGCATCTTGCGGTGTCAGTTCGTCACACTAGACAGCTGGATGCTCGCCCTCCGTAACCAGACAGCCCATTCCCGCCTCTGGCCGCACTCGCGCGCACTTGCTCCGCGAATCCCAGGGTGGTTGGGGGGGCATCGTCGAATCAAATCGAAGACCAGGGTCACATGGGCCTGGTTTTCCCCGCTGCGGGAGGAAGCCGAGGCGCAGGTCTGAACTGACGTGGTTTCGGGCGGGGCGCTGATGACGCGACAAGGGAAAACCGAAATCGTGTGCTACACGACATGGTTGTGTGGGGAGTGTCGGTGCTGCTTGAGAGAGGCAGACATTGGGCGGATGCCGTGTGAATTTCTCGAAGAACACGACAAGACGTACAGCTGGTGGGATTCGAACCCCTCTTTGCTGGCTTTCGTTAGAAACAAACAGCTCAAATCTTTCCATTTCCAGTTCTCTTAAGATGTTGAAAGATGATAAGCTCAATGAAACTGGTATACGATAATCGTACTACCACATCTTCCGTGCAAGCAAAATTTCCCGCAATGGACGGTTATCGAGGACTGGGCATTAGCGAAGTTCGTGGGAGCTTTGGGAACTCCGAAATGCCCTGATCGGAGTTCCCAAAGCTCCCATCAGCTCCCATTAGACATCTCCTATTACCCACACGCGCCATTATGCCCTGATCGATTACTCACTCTTCTAGTGACCGTTGGATAGTGCTTCTTGTGCAATCAAACCCCGCTGTTGCGTTGACTACGTAGCAGTCCCGTAGCAATTCGACAGACCTGATACTTTTATCCGCATCGTTATCCTCGCATTCGTGAATTTCACATCCCTGCGTTTCGCGTCCGTGTTTTTTATCGACTTAGCGAATCTGTTGATAGCGGGGACGGGCGCGTGACACAGGGAGACCACAGGGGGCGCGAGCGCGCCGAGCGGCGATGGGGAACGAGCACTCGCAGCTGACGCAGTATGACATCGAAGACGTGCAGCAGCACGTGGGCGGCCGATGTGAGTATAACGAGTTGCGTGAGTGCAGCGGGCGATGTGAGTACGCAATTCCGCGTTTCCTCCACCGCGCCTTCCGCGTCTCCGGCGTCTACCACACAGCGCCATCCCCCTTCCCCGACAACTCCCCATCCCCCATCCCCCATTCCTGTCCCTCTTCCCCCCACGCTCCCCCCGCGGCCCCCAGTCTCGCAGGAGGAGATAGCTTCCCTGTACCGGCGGTTCTGTGCGTTGGACCGCAACGGCAAGGGGTACGTGAGCGGCGACGAGTTCCTCTCCATCCCCGAATTCGCCATCAACCCGCTAGCGCATGTGAGTCAACGCCAGTCAACGCTGGTCAACGTTGGTCAACGATGGACCGCAACGGCAAGGGGTACATGAGCGGCGACGAGTTCCCCTCCATCCCCGAATTCGCCATCAACCCGCTCGCACAAGTGAGTCAACGCCAGTCAAGCGTGTTGCGCTCTGAATTCCCCCCTCTTCCCCGTTTTCCCTTTTTTCCTCCCGCGTTTTTCCTCCTCCCCATCCCCTCTCTCCCGGCCTTTTCCCTCCCCCTCTGGCCCGCTACCTCCCAACGGCCGCTGGGCGTATGGGAGGGAGGGAGGGACCTTCAAGGACCCGGTGAGATTTGAGAGATCTTACAAGTGAATTGGCTTTTGGTTTGACACGGGACTCCTTCCCCTCCTTCCCCCCGTGCCACACTCCCGCTTCCCCTCCGTTCCCCATCCCTCTTCCCTCCCCCCCTTCACCAGCGGCTGCTGGGCATGCTAGAGGGAGTGAACTTCAAGGACTTTGTCAAGTGGCTCTTGGAATGACTCAACAGTCATTCCCCTTTGTCCACTCCTTCCCCCCCACTCCTCCTCCCCCCCAGCGGCTGCTGGGCATGCTAGAGGGAGTGAACTTCAAGGACTTTGTCAAGTGGCTCTTGGAATGACTCAACAGTCATTCCCCTTTGTCCACTCCTTCCCCCCCACTCCTCCTCCCCCCCAGCGGCTGCTGGGCATGCTAGAGGGAGTGAACTTCAAGGACTTTGTCAAGTGGCTCGCTGCCTTCAGCTCCCGCGCCACTGCTGAGGACCGCACTCGATGTGAGTGTGGTGATGGGATAAGAGGATCATGAGATGGGATGGGATGGGATGGGATGGGATGGGATGGGATGGGATGGGATGGGATGGGGATGGGAGAAATCGTGGATCTAGTGTGGTGTGCCATGGGAATCATTGGCTGATTGCACCTGCCATGCCATGCCATGCCATGCCATGTCTCCCTCCGTCCCTTCTCCTCCCCCAGTGGTGTTTGCCGTGTATCCAAGGGATGGCAGCATTGCTCCTTCTCGCACCTTCCCCTCCCCCCCGCCTCTTCCCTCCCCCCTCTCTCCTCCCCTCAGTGGTGTTTGCCGTGTATGACGTGGACGGCGACGGGAAGATATCCAAGGGCGATCTGCTCGCCATGCTGCGCGACCTGTCAGGGGCGTTCCTGTCCGATGAGCAACGAGAGGTGGGCGTTGTGGTGTGGTGTGGCATGGGCGGGGCTTCGATGAGAGGGGATTTTTAGGGGAATGACACAGCCCATGCCGCACAGGGCGATGGCTTGACTCTAAAGGCAGATCTGCTCGCCATGCTTAGAGACCTGTCAGGGGCGTTCCTGTCAGATGAGCAACGAGAGGTGGGTCATGGGCGTAGTGGGGTTTACAGTGGGAGTGGTTGCGCATGGGAAGCACACAGCCTGACAGCACAGGTCCATGGCAGCGTATCCTGGGCGGATATCCTGGGAGGATATCCTGGGAGGACATCCTGGGAGGACATCCTGGGAGGATGTCCTGGGAGGACATCCTGGGAGGATGTCCTGGGAGGATATCCTGGGAGGATATCCTGGAAAAAAACAACACAACAACACACCAACACAACACACACGGCACACCGCACACCACACAACACACACCACACAACACACACCGCACGCCACTCATTGCTTCCATGCTGCTCCTTGTACTCACCCTTAATAATTCATCTCCCCATCACCCCCCCAACCCCCCCGAAACCCCCCCCCAAACACTGCGCATGACCACACAGGAGGTGGTGGTGCAGGCGATGCAGCAGGCGGGGTTCACCAGCGACTCACTCCTCTCCTTCAACGATGTCTACAAGGTCGCTTGCCCTGCCCTGTACCACCCAGCCCTGTGCCATGCCATACCATGCCATGCCATGCCATGCCTTGCCATGCCATGCCATGCCATGCCATGCCATGCCATGCCATGCCATGCCATGCCATGCCATGCCATGCCATGCCATGCCATCCTGTCTCGCTTACGGTATGTCCCGTGACAAACCCACCCGTCTTCCTCCATTCTCTTACTCCTCTCCATTCTTCTGTTACCATCCTTGTTTCTGTGAGCACTGGTCCTGTGCCGTGCAGGTCGTAGGCAAGCAATTGCGGTTGCAACTTGACATTCCTGTCGATGATTAGGTAGATAGTCTGTTTAAACACTTCAGTAAATGCTTCTAGTTATCGTGCTATTGAACATGAGGTACTATGATCAAAGCTAGTAGAAATAAGGGGCTGAGGCTCAAACCTATCCATCTGTTCGTACCGGTACAATACTGAAGAATCATGCTACACTTATGCATACAATCGAGAGCAACCTTCCACATCTGCAAATGAATCTACCAGAATGAGCAGCAAGGCGCGGCTCCAAATGTACCACTGAGTGTTGTGTTGCTACGTGTAACATACATGCTAATGACTAAGTGTAGACGCGCCTTCGGACATGGCACCCTGTGCAAGGCGATAATAAAGCAGCAGCATGGTTGCCATGCAGGATCTGCCAACGTAAGGGATGCAACATGTGGTCACACAGGGGAAGGTGTGAGAGGGTTGCATTGCGGGAGGGGGGTGGAGAGAAGAGAGTTGGAAGGAGGGAGGATAGAGGAAGGAGGTGGGGAGGGAGGTGAGTAACACAGGCAGAGCAGGCAGGAAGATTGGAGGTGGTGCAAGAGAAGGAGTGGGCATGCAACATGGCACAGAGCATCCCAGCAACACACTACAACCACAGCAGCAGCAGGGGTGCACATGACACACCATGCTCAAACAGTCACCATGACAGGGCACGGCATGGCACAGAATGGCATGGCACCGAATGGCAGGGCACGGAATGGCAGGGCATGGAATGGTAGGGCATGGAATGGCAGGGCATGGAATGGCAGGGCATGGAATGGCAGGTCATGGAATGGCAGGTCATGGGATGGCAGGTCATGGAATGGCAGGGCATGGAATGGCAGGGCATGGAATGGCAGGGCATGGAATGGCAGGGCATGGAATGGCAGGTCATGGAATGGCAGGTCATGGAATGGCAGGTCATGGAATGGCAGGGCATGGAATGGCAGGGCATGGAATGGCAGGTCATGGAATGGCAGGGCATGGAATGGCAGGGCATGGAATGGCAGGGCATGGAATGGCAGGGCATGGAATGGCAGGTCATGGAATGGCAGGTCATGGAATGGCAGGTCATGGAATGGCAGGTCATGGAAGGGCAGGTCATGGAATGGCAGGGCATGGAATGGCAGGGCATGGAATGGCAGGTCATGGAATGGCAGGTCATGGAATGGCAGGTCATGGAATGGCAGGGCATGGAATGGCAGGGCATGGAATGGCAGGGCATGGAATGGCAGGGCATGGAATGGCAGGGCATGGAATGGCAGGGCATGGAATGGCAGGTCATGGAATGGCAGGTCATGGAATGGCAGGTCATGGAATGGCAGGTCATGGAATGGCAGGTCATGGAAGGGCAGGTCATGGAATGGCAGGTCATGGAATGGCAGGTCATGGAATGGCAGGTCATGGAATGGCAGGTCATGGAATGGCAGGGCATGGAATGGCAGGGCATGGAATGGCAGGGCATGGAATGGCAGGGCATGGAATGGCAGGGCATGGAATGGCAGGGCATGGAATGGCAGGGCATGGAATGGCAGGGCATGGAATGGCAGGGCATGGAATGGCAGGTCATGGAATGGCAGGTCATGGAATGGCAGGTCATGGAATGGCAGGTCATGGAATGGCAGGTCATGGAATGGCAGGTCATGGAATGGCAGGTCATGGAATGGCAGGTCATGGAATGGCAGGTCATGGAATGGCAGGGCATGGAATGGCAGGGCATGGAATGGCAGGGCATGGAATGGCAGGGCATGGAATGGCAGGGCATGCATGATGCTTACACAATGGCCACGATGAGAAGCAGCTTCCTGGGGTCCACACCCGCACTGTGCTTTGTGCCAAAATGCTGATTGAGTCAACTCACAAATCACCACGGCACGGCATGGCATGGGATGGCGGCGCATGCATGATGCTTACACAATGGCCACAATGAGCAGCAGCTTCTGTGGGTCCACTTTCCCCCCTGTGCTTTGCCCCAATAAAATTCTTCGAGTCGACCCAAAAACCACCGCGGCAGGGTAAGGCAGGGCACGAGCAATGCTTACACAACGGCCACAATAAGCAGCAGCTTTCTAGGGTCCACACCCCCGCTGCGCCGCTGCCCCGCTCTCCGCCTGCCCTCCTCGTGCGCCCCCACGGGTGCATGGTCGTCCTTGTCCCTGCGGTGCGAGTGTGTGGCCGTGAGCGTGACTGGCAGCGCGTGCAGCGCCGGAGACCACCACGACCCCAGCACCCTCAGCAGCTGCAGATGCGCTGGGCCTGAGGAGGTGTGGGAGGGCGAGGTGACATAAAAGGGGGTGGGTTGAGAGAGGGTGGTGAGAGGGATGACTGATGGCCATGTGGTTGACGAGCAGGTGACCACGAGCCCAGCACCCACAGCAGCTGTAGATGAACCGGGCCTGAGGAGGTGGGGGGAGTGGGGGAAGGACAGCGATGACGCACTCACGGGGTGAGAGGAGGGGTTGAGAGGAGAGACGCCCACCTCATCGATCCAGCCTTCTCAAGCCTGTCTGGTGCACTTCCTCTCAGTCTGGTGCACTTCCTCTCGCCCACTTCGTCAAAAAGCACATACGCACGCCACCTTTGCATGCATGCATGCACACACTCTCTCCTCTTCCCGCCTCCTCCCTCCCCTCCGCCTCATACGCCACTCTCCCTCACCTCGCCTGGCATACTTGCGTTCGCCTACCTCCTCATCCATGTGACACACCATATGCATTCACATGCTCCTTACACTTCGACATTGTTCCCTCTCCCCTCCATCCCCCTTTCCCCCTTCCCCCTCTCTCTGATTTCGCACCTCGTCTGGCGTATTTGCGGTCGCCCGCCTCCTCATCGGTGCGGTACGCAGTCTCGATCTCCTCTGTGATGTCCACCGCCGTGCGATCTGAGCCGCCCGTTCGGCTGCGCGCGATGTTCACCCCGCCCTGCTGCTGTGCCTGGGCGGTGAAGAGTGAGCGGCAGGATAGACAGGGGGTTGGGGGGCAAGAGTGAGCGGTAATCACCTTCACTTGAAGGAGGACAGAAAAATGAGCGGGGCAGGGAGTAGTGGCACTGGTGCACCCATGCCAACCGCATCCAACCAGTAGCACGCGCACAGCAAATCCCACCTCTGGCCACTCACTTGGCGCTTGGCCCCAGCTGAAGCAGCAGCTGCCGCCGCCGCCGCTGCAGCCGCCACAGCCGCCGCTGCTCCTCCTGACGACCCCGCCCCACTGCCCTCCCCCTCCCCGCCGTTCCTCTCCTCCACTGCCCCGCCTGCTTCCCCCCGAGCCTCCCCCTCCGCCCCTGCACTGGCAGGGTCTGCTGCCCGCCCCACCACGGCTAGAGGGCCGGAGGCGAATGCGGGCGGCACAGATTTGTCTGATAGTGCTGTGGCTTGGGCGGATGCTGCTGCTGGGTCGGACGTGACTGGCGCGCTGAGGATGACGTCAGCTACAGATGTCTGTGCGGGATGGGTGCAGGAGGGAGTGAACAGGGCTGTGGCTGGTTGGAGGGGGAGATGATGGCTAGTTGGAAGGGAAACCGAGGACTATGACTGGCTGGAACTCCAAGGAAGAGGAGCAGAAAACGCACCATGGGCTAGTCCAACCGACCAACCTGAACCAGGGGCTATAGCAACAGACCCACCTGAGCCAGGAGCGCTCTGAGGTGAGTGTAGAGAGCAGAGGCAGAGTCCTTGTGCGACCTGGCCGGCCATATCTGGACGCACACACACATATACACGCACGCTCACATGTACACATGCACGCATCCCCCTCACCCCCCCTTCCCCCCCCTCACACACACACATCCACACACTCACCCCAATGCAGGAGAAGAAGGAAATCAAAACAAGGGCATACACCAATCAAAACACTCGCCCTCAAATACAGCGATCACCAATCAAAATACTGCGAATACAGCTGATCGCCTGTGCTGATCACCAAGCGCATGCCACTGCAAATCAATCAAGCCTCACGGCACACCGCGGGACGCACCTCAAGGCCACAACCAGGGGAGGCGCATGTGAAGCCCGCTGGGGCGGTGTTGGGCGGAAATGACTCCACGTGCCTCTTCACACACTCCGCATGGGGCACGTCTGCACCCACCACACGACACGGTGAATGTCATACTGGACCGTGAAGTGGTGCACGCGAGGAGCAGAGCAGGCGGGGCGCAAAGGTAAGGGGAGGTGGGTGGGGTGGGAGGAGAGCGCGCGTACGGAGGCAGGAGAGGCGGATGGTGGGTTTGTCGGAGTCCTCGAGGGACTCGCTGCACACGGCGCAGTGCGGCGGCCAGTCGTAGTCGCCGTCGTTCACCCAGTCCGAGTACTGCCATACCTGCGCTCCGATCGTCGCCGGGAAGGGGAGGAGGGATGGAGGCAGAAGGGAGGGAGGGAGGGAGCGAACCACGAATACGAGAACCGTATGCTTTGTTGCTTCGAGAAACGTTCCAAATTCAACAAAGGGACGGTGGTATGCTGTTGGTATCACTCCAAGAATTCATGGCCATGTGGATCCGGTAGCACGACAACAAGCGACAGGCGGCGACAGGACGTACCACGCAGTGCTGGTGATCGGGAGCGCATATGCAGTCGAAGCACACGGGCGTCTTGTGCACGAAGCAGTATAGCTTGGTGGCCTGCCATGGAAATTGCATCAATTCGAAGCGAAATTCGGGGTATGAGATTCCTAGCAGCAAATCTGTCAACGACACGGGTGAAGGACTTGTGACGATCCGATACGCCACAACGTGATTGAAAGCTTTGCAGCAGTGCTTTGTTAATAGATTGGCAGTATTTCAGTAGAGACGCATGCGATACGAAACGATTAATCAAGATCGCACGCGGCACACCTTACGGCATTTGCAGACCACCATCGGGACCGATTTGGCTACGAGAATCCAGTACGCACGATCGCCCTTCACTGGATGATCATAGGTATTCGTGAAAAGCAACTCTCTTGTGCAGTTCTTAAAATCTAGTCTTAGCGCAAGTGGCGATGGCCGTCTCTAAATGTCGATCTGGAAATTCAGCTGACTGGGAATGATACAAGTCCCTCTCACACCGACAATCTCGAAGTGTGGCGGGAAAAAGTAATGTCAGCACCGGGGTCAGACTGAATTGGTGCACATCTGTAAAGCGTGTACACCAATCCTTTTCCATTTGTACCACAAAAATCATTTTGGCACTTTTATTTACAGCACACATTAATCACATATAGAGCTGTACTGATCCACTCTCATGAAACATGTATTTATTCTCGTTATCTGTTGATATCTTTAGGCTTCGCAACCAACTCCTAGTCATCTAGGTCAAAAGGGCAGGCAACGGGCCTTGACAAATGGGATAACCAACCTGGATAATCAGTACTTTAAACCCGTGAGAGTGTTGGGCATGGTCTCCATTTTTTTTTTCCTGAAAAAATGTCTATGGTATCACAGTTTCACTTTTATATCTAAAGTTGTTGAGACATTGAACAGAGTCTACTCTATGTCGCACAAACTTCAAATCTCTGACACAGTTTCCCGCCACATCAACGCGACCTTCTCGACAGTCCCTGTGTCATCGGCACCAACCAATACCAGAGAACGAATTCCGTTTCCCTCCTTACCTGTCAGCCTTGACATTACCTCACATGGCTTTCACTTGATTCACAACAACCGCACATATCCTTGGAGCTACCATCCTCGAGATTCTCGCTCACTGCCATAGGCCCTCATGCCCTTAAGGAGGAAATAACTTAGTGATGGATTCTAAGTACCACGTAGTCTGCGCTCCCACGCGACTCACGTTGACTAGCACAGCAGGTCCGCGTGGCTCAGAATGGCGACGCGGGGTATCTAGCTTCACGTCGCGGTTTTTCCGCCTTAGATGGTCCCGGAAGTCAGAAGATAGTAGCCATTTGCTTCGCAATAAGAAGGTTAGCCCTCCGCCGTCACCAGTCTCCGAAAAATCTTCCAAGTGGGCCCGCACCGCCCCTACCCGCCTACGCCGTTTCTCCCGCCTTGCCATCCTCGCCGTCGCTTTTCTCCTCGCCCTTTTTGCAGTCATTGATCTGACAAGGTTAGCCCTAACAGACGGCCCTGATGAAGAAGGCTTTTTCTCCTCGCGCTCTGCCAGCCGATGGAGTCCCCAATTTAGATCGCGCTGCTCGAAGCGCTGCTCGCGCCGCGGCACGTGCAACGAGGAGCTCGGTCGCTGCGACTGCCCCGCGGGGTTCACGGGCGACGCCTGCGAGGCCGACGCCTTCCCCTCCTGCCAGCTTGCGCCGGGCTTCCGCACGCCGTGCGCGTTCCCCTCCACATGCGCGTGCGCTCGCGAGTGCCGCGCGTTTCACCTCATCGGCCCCGGCGCGGTGTGCTTCAACGCCTCCCCCATCGCCTCCGCCATTCCGCCACGCTCGCTGGCGGACATCTTCCGCGCGGAGGTCCTGACAGTCGGCGCAGCGGAAGGGGGGAGTGAGTCGGAATGGACGAACCCGGTGATGGCGGAGGGGGAAGCGCAGAATGGCTCGGGGAACGGCGCGGTTTCAACCGCCATAGTGTCTGGGGGAGCTTCCAGCGGTCCACGTGGCCATAGCAGATTGCACAGCAACGATCTCCCCGCGCTGCGTAAGAGCTCGCGGAGATGGGACGGGGGGCGCAATGTGCGGTGGAAAGGAGCGGGCGCAAGGGACATGCCATCAGGAGGCGGGCGGAGCGACTGGGGAAGCGCTGCTGGCGTGGGGGAAACGGATCTAGGGGGGAGAACACAGGCAGCGCGCGGGCGAGTGGCGGGCGGAGCGCAGAAGCAGGTGTGGGCGCAATACACGTGGCAGTTGCGGAAGCGATACACAGACCCGCGGGAGTGCCCCCTGGGGTGCTCTGGTCGCGGGCTGTGCCGTGACGCGTCCAAGACGTGCGAGTGCGTGCCCTCCGTCTCCCCATGTCCTATCAGCCCCATCTTATAATCCCTCTGCGTCCTTTTCTTTAACGAAATGCAAGTGTAAAGCAATCACTCTGTTCCCTCTGTTGCTTCCCCCTCTTCACCTCTCCCTCTTTCCCGCCCGCCCTGTTTCTCTTCCTCCTTCCCCGCCTCCCGCACCAGCTGCGCGTGGCGCTACGCGGGGCCGGGGTGCGAGGAGGAGCGCGCGGGGGGCGTGCGGTGTGTGAACGCGTGCAGTGGGCGCGGCAGGTGCGACGGTGGCATGTGCACGTGCCAGGCTGGCAGCTTCGGCATCGACTGCTCACTGTCGATGGATCCCAGCACGGGAAACATAAGGTGAGGGCGAGGGTATGGCTCACAAGGGCTGCCTCGCACTGCCTCCCACCCTCTCATCCGCCCAATCTTGCTGTTTCTTGCTCCCCTACATTCCTATTCCTCCTTCCTTCCTCCCACCCTCCGCCCCTCTCACCCACCCTTACCCAACCCCGCCCTTCCCTCCTTCCCGCCCCAGCATTCTCCCAAACCCCACCTTCAGATGGCCGCCCCAGTTCCTGCCCTTCCGGGCGGGGCTACAAGACAAGAATCCCACCCCAAAAATCTACGTGTACGAGCTGCCGCCTGAGATGAACACGTGGCAGTGGGAGCAGTCGGGCGCGCTGGATCGCCCCGAGGGGGTGGTGTTCTTGGAGAGGCTGCTGGCGGATGGCCGGCGCACAGCGCATGGCGAGCAGGCGAACTACTTCTATGTTCCGCTTGTTACCAGGTGAGGTGGGGCAGTGGTGTGACACCCTAGCTTGTCGTGCTGAGTCTCAGATAGAGCATCAGCTGCAGGCAGTGGGTCGCCAGGCGCTGACTGCTCCTCACCCGTTTCACGTCCCCCACTCCCTCGCCCCTGTCCTCACCTCGCTCCCTCCATTCTTCATCTGCCCTATCACCTCTCTCGACCACCAGGAATCGCGGGCAAATGAGCATGGGGGGCATGGAGGGGGGCATGGCGATGGGCGGGTATGGAGGCATGGCCATGGCGATGGCGGGGTGGGACGCCATTGAGGAAGCAGTGACCTACATCAGCCGCCACTGGCCCTTCTGGAATAGGACAAACGGCGCCGACCATGTCTTTTTGCTCAACGGCGACTGGGGGGCGTGTGAGATGCGACCAAGCAGGTGGGGTGGCGGAGGCGAGGGGGGAGTGGGAATGGTGGAGGGTGAAGGGGGGCGGATGGTGCTGCAGAGGCATCCGAGGCTGGAGCGAGCTGTGGTGCTCACGCCCTGGGGGTATGAGGGAGCGGTGGCCGGGGCGAGAGGGGCCGATGACAGGATAGGCAGGGCAAGGGTGGGGAAAGGGGCGCAGGTGCAGCAGCAGTGGGAGCAGCAGGGGCGTGGGCGTGGGGGGGTGTGCTTCATCCCCGGGCAGGACGTGGTGATCCCCCCGCTGCTGCCCCCCTCCGTGGTGCTCGCCTCGCCCTTCGTGCGCGAACCCCTCCAAGGCACCCCCGACCGCCCCACCCTGCTGCTCTTCGTTGTTAGGGGGACTAGGGGAAGCGGAGGGGGAGGGGCAGGGGCAGGGGCGAGGATGGGCGCAGCAGGAAAAGCAAAGGGGGTGTGGAGTCTGGGGGCCGGGGTGGGTATGAGAGCTGGGGAAGTGATGGGAGCAGGCGAGTGGGTGGGGAGGCCTGGAGGCGACTGGGGTGCTGCACACAGGGACCCACGTGCTGCTTCGTCTCTGGCCGCGCGGCTTGTACCGAATGAGCGTGTATCGAGTATAGGGGCGCGGTTCCTGCAGCTGTTCTCCTACCGGCAGCAGCAGGTGGGGTTCCGAATCATGCACGTGGGCACACCGGGCAGGGGGGCAGTGCAGGAGGGGCAAGGCGGGGACTGGGATGAGGCAGGGGAAGCAGGAGATGAGGGGGAGGAGGAGGGGCGGGAGAGAGAGGAGGGCGAGGTGACAGACGCCATGCTGCGGGCGCAGTTCTGCTTTGCGCCCACGCCCCCCACGGGCTACAGTGACACCGTGGTGCGGGCAGTGCTCCTCGGGTGCATCCCCGTGATCGTCCAGCCCAACACTCAGCACCCATTCGCTAGCGCCAGTGCTGCGGGCATAGGCATGGATAAAACAGCAGGTGGTGGTGGCGGTGGTGCCATCCATTGGCCGTCCCTGGCGCTGTTCCTCGCCCCCCAGCAGCTGCCAGAGCTCCCGGAGATCCTGCGAGGCATCACCGCGGAGGAGGTGGCGGGGCGCCGCAGCGCCATGAAGGCCGCGTGGCCGCACCTGCTCTGGGCCTCGCCAACCTACAGCCCCCTCTCGCCCTCCCCCTCCTCCTCCTCCTCCTCCTCCTCCTCCTCCTCCTCCTCCTCCTCCTCCTCCTCCTCCTCCACCTCCTCGTATTCCTCCTCCGCCTCCTCCCCCCCCACGCCCTCCAGCCTGCTGTACCTGCAGAAGAAGCTGCGCCCGCTGCTCGCCTCCTCAGATGCGTTTTCGTCCGTCATGGCTGTTCTCGGGCGGCGGGTTCGGGCAGCTGAAGTTTCTGCTGTAAAGGGGATGGTGACGCTGCCAGCGGCAGGGGGGAAGGTGGGACCCGGTGGGGGACCCAGCGTTGTGTTTTCCCGAGCAAGCAAGATGGCGGGGGGTGGGGAAGCAGGGGGGTACAGGCAGGTGGGAGGGTGGGTGGGGCGAGGGGGGGGTGCGTGGGGGAAAGGGAAGGGGGCTGGGGGAAGGAGATGGTACACGGTTGGGGGCGTGGTGGTGGAAGAGGAAGAGGGGGAGGGGGAGAGCAAGGGAGAGGAGGGTGGGGAGAGTGGGGTGGGCAGAAGAGGTGGTTCCACGAGCCAGCTGCACTCGCTGTCATTGCTGCCATCGTCACAACCACTCCCTCATAGTCGGGCGAATTCTCTCCATCCCTCCCTCCCCTCCTCCTTTTCCTCCTCGCTCTCCTCCTCTTCGCCCCCCTCCAACTGCTCCTCCCTCTGCTTTGTACGGGGCACGTGCAACGAGGCCACTGCCACGTGTCACTGCGTGCCTGGCTTCACAGGCAAGCACTGCCACGTGTTGGCCATGCCCAGCTGCCAGCTGGCGCCGGATGTGTGGACGCCGTGCCACGTGGCGACATCGTGTGCGTGCGTGAGGGAGTGCGATCGGTACCGCCTGGAGCATCTACAAGAGTGCTTTGATGAGACTGGTGCGCTCATGGGAGGGAACGATACTACTGCTTCTGCTGCTGCTGCTAACAGTGCTGCTGCTGCTGGTCGTGGTGCTGCTAGTGGTGCTGGCGCTGGTGTTGGTGGAGTCAACAGCAGCAGTGCAGGAAACTCCTCTTCCTTTTTGACTGCTGTTGTGGCTCGCGGTGGAGGGGTGAGAGACGCCCTGATTGGCTGGATGAAGGGAAGCAACAGCACAAAAGACACGACAGCCGGGCAAGCAGGGGTGGCAGGAGAGGAGGCGGGAGGGGAGGGAGAGGAAGGGCTGGAAGGGGACAATGAGCCCAAGGTGAAGGAGGAAGAGGCGTGGGGTGACTTTCCAGGGAGGCGCGGGCCGTGGGTGGACGTGGGGAGGCTGTACGAGCAGAGGCAGGTGGCGCTGGTGCTGGATGGGCGGGGCAATGAGGTGGGGCCGGGGGAGACCGTGCGCCCAGGGGGCGGGGGGGAGGGGGAGGGGAGGGAGGAGGACGGAGGGGGGTTTGGGGCGCCGCACGAGTGCCCGTATAACTGCTCGGGCGTTGGCGTGTGTGACAGAGGCAGCCTCACGTGCATGTGAGTGATTGGTGGTGTGGTGGCCCTCACATGCCCCGCACTCTACTCTGGCGATGGCTGTGAGCACCCAAGATGGCTCCTCCGTTTGTTCCCTTGTCCCCTGTCGACTCATCTCGAACTTCTCTGTCCCCGTCCCCTTGTTATGCCACCACTCGTCCACCCCCAGCTGGCCTGCGCTCGGGCTGTGTCCCGCCGGCTGTGAGGAACCGGGCTGAATTCCCTCCCCCCCCATTCCCCTCTCCTCGTTTCCTTCCCCATCTTTCATTCTGCCCACCACCAGCTGCCCTGCGCTCTACTCAGGTGCTGGCTGTGAGCAGCCGGGCTGGCTGCCCTTTGACTGCTTCGGGGCCTGTGGCGCTCACAGCATGGGGGGAGAGGGGGAGGGGGAGGGGGAGGAGGCGGAGTATGCAGGAGAGGGAGAGGGGGAGAAAAATGGGGAGAGAGGAGCGGGTGGCGAGTGTGTGGAGGGAGTGTGCAAGTGTGCTAGGGGCACGTTTGGCATTGACTGTGCGCTTTCCCTCGACGCCCACGGTGCCACCACTCTGCACCGCAGACAACCCTTCCTCTGGACCGACGCTGTCCCACCGCCCTCCCCAGCGCTCGTCTCCGCTGCCCGGCCAAAGATTTTTGTGTATGAGCTGCCCGGATACCTGAACACGTGGCAGGGCGTGCTGGGGGCGGGGAGGGGCCGGTGGGAGGGGTATGTGTTTCTGGACGCGCTGCTGACGTCAGCATGGCGCACTGCCGATCCGGAGGAGGCTGACCTGTTCTACGTGCCCCTGCTGCTGCGGTGAGTCAATATTCAATCCGCATTTAGGCAGTGTCTATTCAGCACCTAGTCAGCACCTAGTCAGCATTGAGTCAGCAGCCAGTCAGCGCCTAATCAGTAGCGTGTGTGTCATCATGAGTGGACACAGGATGAAGGGCCCATTCCTTATACCTGACTCACCTCCGCCCTCCATGCTTTCCACAGGCACCGAGGCACAGCGAAGCAGAGTGTGCTGTCATGGGCCATCGAGCACATAAGAGACGAGTGGCCCTACTGGGACCGCCATGCTGGCGCCGACCACGTCTTCCTCGCCAATGATGACTGGGCGGCGTGTGAGGTCGGCGAAGCCGGGCGGCGAGACCCGATGCTGGCGCGCAGTACAGTGCTGTCGCTGTGGGGGTACTCGGGGAACATGCCGTTTGATGCCGCCCTGCCTGGCTGCTTCATTCCCGGGCAGGATGTTGTTATCCCGCCCGTTCTGCTGCCCGAGGTTTATGAGGCGGCCATGGGCGTTCAAGGAGAAAACGGGCAGACTGGTGGTCGGGATATTTTGTTTTTCTTCTGCGGGTTTGACGGGCGGGACGTGGAACCAGTGTTGGGCTTTAACTACTCGTTTGGGGTGCGCCAGGCCCTGTTTGACTGGTTTGACTCGCTTGACTCCGCTGCTGCTGTGCCCAAGGGGTTTGTCATAGAGCGCACACTGGGGGAGGGGGATTTTGGGGAGGGGCAAGGGGGAGTGGGAGGGGAGGTGGGGGAAGGAGGAGGGTACTTAGAGCGGATGGCTCGGTCGGTGTTCTGTCTGGTGGCGGGGGGATGGGGTGCTGATGAGACGGCCACTCAGGCGGTGACACTTGGATGCATCCCAGTGATAATACAGGTGAGAAGTTTGTTCCTTTCCAGCTGACAAACAACTTCTCCACTCCACTTTCATTGTCATCTCTCTGATTTTGCCTGGAATGTCTTTCTCATCCAACCCCCACACTACGCCAGCCCAATGTGAGCATGCCATTTGAGGGTGATGGTTTTTTGGACTGGGACGACTTCTCAGTGAGGCTGACTCCTGCAGACATTCCCCACCTCCACGGCATCCTCGCCAGCATTCCTCCACAAGAGCTAGCTCTCAAGCAAGCTGCTCTGCGTAGAGTTTGGGTGCACTTTGCATGGGCTAGTTTGCAGTACAATCCGTTTTCAAGAATTCTTGACAAGGAGCAAGGCGAGTTGGCACGAGACGTTGCTTCATCGGGGGCGTTTAGGAGTGTCATGAGGGCTTTGGCGCAGAGAAAGCAGTCAGTCAAATTAAGATATTCGAATTCTTGAGCTATTTTTTGTGCCTTGATGTATTGAAATGCATGTATGTACGGTAAGCCAATTATTTATTGAGACACAGATCACCAGAATAGCGCGCAGATGTTTCTGGACTCTTCCGTAACGCGGATTTTGAATTGAAGGGATATTCACGACAGTCTGAAGGTTGCGCAGTGCAGTGGGCGTTTGGGCACCCACAATCTATTTGCCCGACAGCCGCCAGAGCGGCGCACACCATCCAACGGTGCACCAGCCGAAACTCCACCCGAGCTGATGGAGTTGATGGACCTGGTACACCTGGGCTCCCATAATTTCATTCCCTGTAATTGCAAGGCCCCTGTCGTCACCTGGGGTCAGGAGCTCGAGCGCTTCGGAGGCTGTCAACAGTGAAGTTGAGAGCTTCACAGCCTGTGACCTGACGCGTCAGCAAATTTCCACGCTGGAATGAGCTGGTGTAATAGATTAGAGAAGGCTCCCAGGCATGTTTTCCGTGGCTCACAAAGCAAACCAGCCGCACTAGATTCCTACGTGGCAAAAAATGGACGGCCTACGTGAAGGAAATGAATATGGGTAGAAACATGCGTAACCGACTCAAAAACGATCACAACCACTAAGGGACAACACACACTACTCCCTTCCTCTGGCAGAGAGCAAATTCGACTTCCAAACCCACTCGTCATTTAGCACGGCCTAGAAATTAGAGACGTCCACTCTTAAGTACTACTAGTAGCCATGCCTACTCATAGGCGAAATACCGCCTTAACGATAGGGCAGAAGAGGGCGCTCGTCTCTCACCATGCATCCAACCCTAACCCCACCCACAACGAGCTCGTTACTTGGCTTTATGAGAATTTTCAGAAAACACCATGTACATCCACCGTGTCTAGGATATTGAAAGATAGGAAGAGGTGGCTATCTCCTACCTTGCTTCCTGAGACACGAAAGAGGGCGCGGCCGGGCCATTTTCCAGCACTAGAAGCACGGCTTCGAGAATGGGCGATGAGGAAAAGCGCGGCTAATTTTCCAATCACATTTAGAGTCTTGCAAGGAAAGGCTATAGAGCTTGCGAGGCGTATGCGCTTGCCCAACAACTTTGGTTGTAGCCGTGGATGGTTGTGTAAGGCATTAGTTCGCATGGGCATGTCTTCGTACATACGGAAAGGGGAGGCCCTAGACGCAAACAAGGAGTCTATCGCGTTAGCGCGGGAAAATTTGCCCCTCATTCTTCAGTCGTATGAGCCTCGAGACGTGTATAACTTGGATGAGACCGGTTTAGTGCAAGGGCAGCAACCTAGGCGCACCTACGCCGCCGAGCCCGTGTCTGGCGGGAAGTTGGATAAGGAGCGTTTTACACTCGCGCTATGTGTAAACGCTGACGGGTCAGATTTTAGAATGCCAATCGTCATTGGCAAGTCGATGCGACCGCGTTCGTTCAAGAGCGACTTCCACGTCCAAGACTATGTATGGTATCGCGCCAACAAGAAGGCTTGGATGACTAGCGAGGTGAGCCTTCCTATTTGGGACAATGTACATCAGATCTTAAAAATGACGGCTGAAGTATGATGTCCTTGCTCATTTATATTGCTCCATGTGACACCCTTCTATCCCTTCTACCCACTAGATTTTTACACAATGGGTGGACGCGTTCGAGGGGGCGATGAAGTGGCAAGATCGGAAAGTTCTCTTGCTAGTAGACAACGCTTCCTCCCACAACATTGTCAATTTGGAGGAAGCGGTTGAAGGTCATGTGCACGGGATGCGGTATGTCGATGTGGGGAATGTTCGAGTGCTTTACTTGCCTCCTAACTGCACCTCTCATGTCCAACCACTCGATCAAGGTGTGATTTCAACTCTCAAATTGAGGTATCGCAAAATACTAGTCGAGTGGTTGATAAAGAAGTTTGACAAGCCGAATACCCCGGAAGAAGCGGATATGGAGGAGGGAGAAGGGATGGGGGAATATGTGGAGGGCGAGGATAACATTCCCATGAGCAAGAAAGATCTTCGTCCGGATTTGAGAACGGCAATTACATGGATTAGCGGGACATGGCAAAGCTTTGAATATGAGATTGTGCGACGTTGTTGGAGGCGGGCCGGCATTGTTCCGTTTTCGTGGCTTGAAGAGTGGGGGCTTGGACGTATCTTTGAAGGGCCATTTAGGGACCCTTCTAGTGATGACGTGACTTCATTGGCTACTCTCATTTCTAAATTGAAGATCGACGGGGAGCTCATGACGGCTCGCCAATTTATCACGTGCGACGACACACTTCCTACCGAAGGGTCTTGGGAGGGCGAGCCGCGCCGAGAGCGCATCGGCAAATGGTTTTCATACCCTCGTGGGTGTGGGGTTCCTTTCGACCTCAACGATGCTCCCCAGCCTGAGCAACCCTCGAGCGAGTCCGTGCTTCAATCGGCATTGACGGCGCTTGAAGAAATGATGACGGACTCACGGATGACGCGGATTTTGGGGCCTTTGTTAGAGAACGAACCAGTGCGCTGCACGAGGGGCGTGATTTCGGAGGATCTGATTCAGTGGGTGAGGGCTGCACGGTTAGTCTGATAATGGGGTTTTGGGTAATAATAAGTAGTCAAATATTTGCTGATTTCGTACTGGGGGCTTAACTTGGAGACATTTTTACTTACTCACCCACTGTTTGACACTTTACATATTGTATGCTTGGTTGCTTCGAGTTGAATTTGGGCTTCTTAATGAACGGAACACCTCAGGCTCATAGGCGATACTGTACAGTCATAGGACCGAAGGGTCCTTGCTGGCATGTTCCAGCGGGGACTGACTCAGCGCGAAAAAATCTGCGCTTGGGAGGGTTGAAATTAGGGGGAACTTTTTTGTTCCCCGTAATTTCAACCCCTGTGCTAAACGACACAGGTGCGACCCGGTGCCCCGGCTCTGAAATTATCGGAGCCCAGGTGTATTCCCAAGAAGGTGCAAGACAGCGGGCAGCGAGCGAACCAACACCGCTGGAACCCCAGCAGAGCGTGTCCATCCATGACAACAGGATGAACCATCTCGCACGGATTCATGAGATTACCACGCGATAGATTCATCACTCTCACCACCACAGCGTCAGGTTCTCAGATGCATTATCTCCTTGAAATCATCAGATAAACCACTTGTAACTGCTTAGTTCGTCCACCCTCGGTAGTAGTCCCTAGCCTTGTTGGTCGTTAGCTTCTGTTGCACGCTAGGCGTTAACCAGTGCTCCTTAGGAGCAAGCGTCGCTGGATGGTTGGCGATCTGGCTGGGCGCGAGCTCCTGCGAGGGGTGCAGAGCACGTTGATGCCGCGTGCCCACGATTTCGCCGCGCGAGCAGGCCGGGATCCACTCGCCTGCGTGTCCCGGAGCCGAATCGGCCCTGGTGCTCGAGTTCCCACCGTTAGCAGCGAGATCGGCGGAAGCGTGGTCGGGGTGGTGGTTGGGGTTTCGCTGGTCGTTGCGGGAGGACTGGGCGACGGTAAGGTGACGCGGCACGGGGAGGGGAGATACACGGTCGGTGGGTGAGGGCATGGCGAGCGGAGGGGAGGTTGGGGTGGCGGTCGCAGATCCGCGGAGCGGAGGCCGACAGGAGGACGACGAGCGTACGGAGCGACACGACGAGGCATTCCATGCTGACGTGGAGGAGGCGGATGATGACGGGGTGATGGACCACTTGAGCGACCCAGGTGTTTATTTCCAGCAGGAGACCGCGAACGACGTGGCGCTGTCGCAGGCCATGCGATGGTGCAATCCGGACGAAGACGTTGCGAACAAGTCCAACTATTCGCACACGACGCCGGTCAGCCCAATCGCCGGAGATCTCGATGACTCTCCTGGAAAGGATCGCGTGGACGCGGAGATGGGGTGCGAGGAGGCGGAGAGGCGCGCGTCGCTAAGCGACGCGTCGGTGGAGAATGTTGCGCTGTGGAGTCGCAGTCGCACGACGATGGAGCACGACGACTACGATCGCATGTTCGACGCGCACGGCGGACTGCAGCCCGGTGGCGACCGCGGTAAGATGCCCGCAGGCGGGGATGGGGTAGACGAGGGGGGGGAGAGGGAAGAGAGGGGAAAGTTTGAGGAGGGTAGGGACGCAGACAGATTCGTCGCGGATGGCGACTATTATAACGATGACGATGACGATAACCGTCACGCGAACGATGACGTCATGGGGTTCCAGTTCTGGCGCACGTCGCTTCCGCAGGACGGCAGCGCGGACGGGCAGCACGCGGACGACGCGGGGTCGCCGCACGTGGCGGAATACGGTACGATGTGGCACAACATGACGGGGCACCTGGAGAACATGAAGGACGATTGGGCGGAGGCGCAGGCGGTGGCGGAAGGGGAGGCGGGGAGCGCGGGCGAGGCGGAAGCCGACGACGATACGCGGAGCCAGGCGTCCGCGCATTCGGACACGGCGCTGCTCCTGGATCACCTGCAGCTGGGGGTGTCGGGGCCGCTGTCGGTGCTGCCGTGGGACGAGGAGGCGGAGGAGGAGGCGGCGCAGGAGGCTGCGCGGGATGCGCGTGAGGAGATTCGCGCGGCACGGGCGGAAATGTATTTTAGTCCGGAGGCGGAGGAAGCGGAGGCGCCAATGGGGGGAGAGGAGCCGTTTTCCCTGGGCCCCTCCGCCGCCGATGCTAGGGGCGCGGATGGCCTTCCGCAGCGTGACGCTTCCGCCATCCCCAACGCAGATGACGTTGGCGCGGGGGATTCCGCAGCCAGTGAGGGCGCAACCAGCGACCAGGCGGGGCGGACTGAGCCTCGCTCTGACATGCTGCTTCCGCGCATCCGCACCACGGGAGACCTCCTCCTTGCGTGTCCGCCCACAGGCGCATCTTCCCCCGTCGGCGCAGCGGCTGCCGGCGCGGACGCGGTTGCGGCGGACGCGCAGTCCATGCCGGAGCTAGGGGACGTGCAGCTCTCCGCAGTTGAAGGAAGCGCTGGCGCGGGGACCATTGGCTCGGGGGAGGGCATTGGCGGAGCGTCCGCGGGGAAAGCGGCAGGTGCGGCGGGAGGAGAGGCGAAGGAGGCGGGGAAGGCGGGGGAGATGACAGCGCTGTGGCTGGCGGGCATGCCGCGCGTGGAGGCGTGGGTGAACTGCCTCCCGCGCGGGCAGTGGGAGCCCTCCGAGAGCATCGAGCACTGGAGCAGCATCGGCAGCAGCAAGGGCGGCGGCGGCGGAAGCAGCAGCAGCGCGCAACTCCCGCCCCATTCCCCCCCCGCGCCCCACCACCACCACCACCATTCGTCCAGCGGCATGAGCAAGCGCTCCATGTCGCACGGCCACATGCACGGGGGTGGCGCGGCGGCCGCGGGGAACCTGCAGGCCGCGGTGGCGGTGGGGGCGGCGGCGGCGGCGGAGCATGCGGGGAGGGTGGTGCGCGGGCTGGACAAACACGCGGCGGCCGTGTACCTGTCCATGCGCGGGTTGCTGGTGGTTCCACCGCTGGGGGCGTTCTCGTCGCTCAAGACGCTCGACCTGTCACGCAACAATATCAGTGAGTGGGGTGTGCGTGCTGCTTCGTGTGTGCACACGTGTCATCCCCCTCCTCCACCAACACCCCCGTCCTCCCATCCCTCCCCCCACCACACCTCCACCCCTGTGCATGCTGCTCGCAAGCTGGCCCTCCCTCCTATCCGTGGTGTTCTTTCAGCGTTTATTCGTCTTATTCCAACCGCACTCAACACACTCTTCGCATCCACACCACTCACTCTCGGGATCCACGGAATCTAAGACTGGCAAGTGAGGGGCTCGGTACCTCTTTCTAAGACAAGGCATAGAGAGGCTTAGGCAGACATTGGCGATGATAAGCTTAAAAAACGAATGGGGAAGGAACCCATGCCACTGGATCTTCAAATCTCCCAACCCCACTCTCCACCCTGGTGCATGCTGGCAGCGTCTGTGGCAACGGGGGTGCTACCACGGTCGCTGCACATCCTGGACCTGTCACACAACCGCCTGGCCGCTGTGGAGGGGCTCAGGGAGCTCACTCGCCTCAAGGTGCTCAACCTCTCCAACAACCGCCTTGCTCGCATCGGCCACGGTGCGTAACGGGCCAGGAGGGGTTGTAGACACGGTCGGCAGAACGGTGTGTGGGGTGCAATAGATTGCATTTTTGGGGCATTCGAGGGAGGGCATTGGTTGAGCTCTCACGTCTCAGGTGCTCAACTTGGCCCAACAACTGCCTCACGCGCATCAGCCACGGTGCGTGCATGGGGGCAGGGGGAAGGGCTGCACAGAGAGGGTGAGCAGCAGTGTGTTCTGGATGAATGTTGTTGCGACAAATTGTCTTGATCGGGCATGTGAGCGAGGTTCAGTGGTGACACCACCCACTCTGTCTGAGTTCTTACGCCTTAAGATGCTCGACCTCTAAACCAACAGCCGCCTTGCCCAAATGGGCCACAATGAGAAGCAGCGCACGGGGCGGTGCACGAGGGCAGCACAGTGGGTGGGGTCGACAGGTGCGGGATGAACAGGGTTGGGTTGCAGGACATGTTGGAAATTGTACTTCAGGAATCCCGGCCCTCCGTCCCCAATTCCCCCTCTCCCCTCTCTCAACACTTCTTTTCTCTTCTTCCTTCAAACCCTCCCTGCTCTCCTTCATCCTTGGTCCCACCGACAGGGCTGTCGGGGTGTGTGGCGTTGAGGGAGCTGTACCTAGCGGGCAACAGGGTGGGCGAGGTGGAGGGGCTGCACCGCCTGCTCAAGCTCACCGTGCTCGACCTGGGCGCCAACAAGGTCACCACCACCAAGGCCCTCGGCCAGCTCGCTGCCAACTACGCCTCGCTGCGTGCGCTCAACCTTGCGGGCAACCCCATTCACGTGAACCTGGGGGACGATGCCTTCAAGCGCTACCTCATCGGTGCGTTGTGTTGGGACTCCTGGTTGGGTGGGTGGGTGGGTGGGCTCACGCGTGCAGATGCTTGTGAGGGGGGAGAGACTTGGCTCGGGTCTGTTTGTTGTGCGTGCGCATCTGGCTGGCTATCCCATGCACGAGGGTCACTCATGCCCATCTCTACCACCCACTCTCCCAAACTCCCTCCCTACCCGCCAGGCCTGCTGCCACAGCTGCTGTACCTGAACCAGCGCCCCATCAAGACGCCCTCTTCTCGCGACGCCCTCTCCGACCCGCTCAAGGCGCGAGGAGCCGGTGCACCCCAGCTGCACCATGGGCATTCCTCGCGCTCCGCCTCGCGCACCGCTGGTGGCAGCACCTCACGGCACCGTACTGGCGGGAGCAGCAGCAGCGGGCTGAGGAAGGCTGCAACAGGGGGGACGAGTGGGTCGGGGAGTGGAGGGGGGTCCAAGGATGGGCACCACAGGACGCACCATGGGTCAAGCAGTGGGGCTCATCATTCGTCCCGCAGTCGCACAGCCATGGGGGGGCATTCGACCCATCGGAGTAGGTCGGGTGTGGCTAGTGGGAGCAGTGCGGGAGTGGGGGAGAAGTCTCGGCACCACCACCACCATCATCACCATTGAAGTGGAGGCTTACATAAGTGTTTTTGTGGGCGTACCCTGTCAGAATCTAGCCGGGGTTGCGTTGTCGTGTGCTGTAGGTTTGATGATTTGCTCCCCATTGTTTTTAGTTTTGTTTTGTTTTGTTTGAATTGAATGAAATTCGTTCCATTTGCAGAGGTACCCTATTGAGTGCTGCGGTTCTGCGGTGTGTCAGCAAGGCTAGCACCGAGATACGAGGCCACCCTTAGTAGAATCGCTTTCAATGCAGAACATCGTGTGCAACCTAGGGTAGCAGTCGGGGAGTTGATAGTCAGTCATTTGTTCTCAAATCCATTTGTACCTTTTGTACATATACATATGTAAATAAAGCAATGGCTATTATACACTTGGTCCTCCATTTCTCCGTCACCGCCGCATGTACGAATGTCCAACGTCCATCCATCACAAGTCATCCTGGGTTCTTCGTTGCACCACGTTTCAAAATCCGACCACTGCCCTTCCTTCCCATCAATGGGCGCGTTTTGTCACGATGATTGGTCGCACTCGAATCCTTCAAGAGCAAGAACACCAATAGCCTCCGCACACAGTGAGGCGTACGGGCAGCATTGCAGAATGGGATGAAACCATCATGAAGGACTGGCCGCGTTCAGCATCATCTGACAGCTCTGGCTGGAACAATTCGTACTCCGCTTTCTACATTCACTCCGTCTGTGTGAAATATGTGAAGCGAGCGAAGCGAAGAGCAGCGAAGACAAGGCAGTTCTGTTCCAATTCCCAAGGTCCAACGGTCCGTCTCGATGCTCCGCACCAGTCCATCGCGCACTCGCCCGTTCTCACCCACCCACAGCAGTCATTTGCTGCCTCCATGCTCGTGTGCGCCTCAAGCTCCCATCTGCGCTGGACGATGCCAGTAGACGCGGTCTGAGAAGCTGGAAAGCAGCACAGCGAATTTCGTGGCTGGTTGGCTCGGCGGCCATGGCTGATTCATCTGACGTGTCACTCCAACGCAACGTGGGCATTGAAGTTACACTATTCGCGTTCCCGTCTGGCAGGATTACGCCAGCACCCATTGAATTGGGTTGTCTCTGAAGTTTCCGACCTGTTTTCCTTCGTAGCAGCAATTCTCGCGACCTTCTTACGCTTTCTGACTTTCGCTATAGAAGTTGATTAGTCTGCATTAGGTCGATCCGTGGCCAGTTAGCTGTCTATTAAATCTTACCACGAATTGGTTTCTGTTAGCTCCGCATCACATTGTAAATTCTCTCCGTACAGCGCAAATGGGTCCGTCCTCGTCGCAACGTGATTCCACTTCAGAAGTCTCCATAGTCGTTCCCCTGTTAACCAACGGAAATGACATCGTTAAAACCGCCGCAAACGGCGACGCAGATCCCCGGCAGGACGGCTGTCTCCCGCTTCTAGAACCATCGCTCAGCCGAGGCTCCTCGGGAAGCGACGAGGTGCTGCCGCTGGGCCCGTGCCGGCGGCCGTTACCGCGGTGGCAGGTGGTGGCGTACGGAACAGGGCACATGCTGAACGACATCACGGCCGCGTGCTGGTTCACCTACCTCCTCATCTACCTCTCCGACATCGGCCTCTCCCCGCAGTACGTCCCCTCGCCCTCTCCCCCACAATGCGTCGTTGTTTCGGTTGCCCTTGTACGTACGCGGTACTGGCCTTCCAAGTAATCACGTGCATCTCATTCCCCTAAGTACGACCTACTGCTGTCAGTCATTCAGCATTGGTATTTCATTAGGGACGGTTAAGTCTGGGTCTGTCACGACAATTGCTGACAGAATTGGTAGCTCCCATGTGGGAAAACAGCATTCAGAATCGTGCGAGCGACCGGCAGTGAGCGTGGGTGCCTGGAGTGCTTCTGGTGGCGCAGCTTGATTTATCTGAGTTGCCTGAATGCTCTGAAGTTTCCGCTGCCAGCTCCCGTCCTCTCCTTTTCCTCTTCCTCCTGTCTCCGATCCCTAACGCTGTCGTGGTGCCTGATCCCTGGCTCCACGCGCGCGCGTGCAGGCAGGCGGGCGTGGTGATGCTGTCGGGCCAATTCGCCGATGCATCTGCCACCCTCGTCGCTGGCGAGCTGGTGAGTGCGACGCATGCGAGCGATGGGAGCAAAGAATTTGTTACAGGCATGGATGGAATGGCAGGCATGGGAGGAATAGTGATGCTGGGATCAATAGGGCATGAGCGGGACCGAGGCAATGGGATGAAACGGTGCGAATGTGAGGAATAACTGGCCACATATGCACAATGCGGCATGAGAGATAAGGGCAGTGCCCACCGGGAAAGAAATATCTCAACAATCTTGGTCTCCCCAGGTTCTTGGTCCCATTGTGCAAACATTTTGGCAGCAAGTGCAATGCGTGCGTGTGTGTGTGTGTGTGTGTGTGTGTGTGTGTGTGTGTGAGTGTGTGTGTGTGTGTGTGTGTGTGTTTGTGTTTGCGTGCACACACTGCTTCAAATGTTTCGGGCATTGTCTCCCTGCCGCCCGTCATTCCCCCGTCAGATCGACCGGTTTGGGCATTACAAGCTGTGGCACTTTGGCGGGTCGGTGTGCACGGTGGTGTCCTTCTCCTCCGTCTTCGGCGGCTGCCTCGTGTGCCACCTGCTCGGCTCCAACTCCACGCTCGTTGAAACCGCCAGCTACAGCGTCTTTGCTGCCGTCTTCAACTGCGGCTGGGCCGCCACCCAGGTGTCTCACATGTGCGTGGGGCAGGCTTGCTGGCCAGGGCTTAGGGTTGAGACGAGCCCAGAAATGCTTGTGTGAGCATGCTACTCGCGAGTGCAGAGATTCTTTTCTTGAGAGCACCCCTGCGTATTTTCACGCTCCCACTTTCTCTCTCTCATACGCACATCCACTGCCTCCCTCCCCCATCACACCCACACCCCCTTGCATCCCCTCCCCCCTCCCCCTCAGCACCCGCATTGCCCCCTCACACACGTGACACATCCAAACCCTGCCCTTCTCCGACCCTCCCCTCCCCCTGCCGCTCCCATTCGCCCAATCCCTCCCACACAGGGCGATGGTGAACTGTCTGACGGCCAACCCCAGCAGCCGCGTGGCGATGAACAGCTGTCGCAACGCCTTCACTATGGTCGCCAACCTCGCCCTCTTCGCCATCGCCCTCGCCGCCTTCTCCCTCTTCCCCGCCCACGACCCCGCCCAGGTGCCCACGACCCCGCCCAGGTGCCCATGACCCCGCCCAGGTGCCCATGACCCCGCCCAGGTGCCCATGACCCCGCCCAGGTGCCCATGACCCCGCCCAGGTGCCCATGACCCCGCCCAGGTGCCCACGACCCCGCCCAGGTGCCCATGACCCCGCCCAGGTGCCCATGACCCCGCCCAGGTGCTCACTCGCCCTCCCAGGTGCCCACCACTCTTCCCAGGTGCCCACGACCCCGCCCAGGTGCCCATGACATGACCCTTTCCAGGTGCCTGCTCATGATGGGCGCATGCTGTAGTGCCAACACACCTCCTTTTCAACGGCCCTCTTCAAACAATACCTGCTGTTGCTGTTCGATTGGTTGGACCTCGTGAGCTGCCTCCGCATGCCAATTAGACCAACATAACAACATGGGCTTCGCAGCCCCCCTCATCTTCCCTCCCCTCCTCACCACGTACAGGCACAGTACCGATGGATCTCCTTCTGACCCCTTCCTCTCGCACCCTCCTGCCCCTACCTGTCCTCTCCCCCTCACCTCCCCTTCTCCCGCTCTCCAGGTGCAAGCGCAGTACCGGTGGATCTCCTTCGTGGCGCTCACCTCAGGCGCCGCCTTCTTGCTCGTCTTCTACGCCGGGGTCCGCGAGCCCACGTCAGTGCCACACTGTGCCGTGTCGTGCTGCGTCAATCACCACAGAGTGTTTCGTTTCATCAATCCGCACCTGCTTCTTTGCTGCTGCCATTTCCGTCAGCTTGCTGCCATTGGCCTTCACTCCACTGTGCTTCTTGTCTCCTCGCCCCCCCTGCTGCTAACTGTTCTTCCTCCTTCTCCTTGTCTCTCCCCCCCCCGCCACACCCCAGTGTCTCCCGTGTGCCAGTGCGCCTGCCCTCCTCTCGCTCCTTCTGCACCGACCAATCCGCCGACGACAGCACCGGCCAATCAGAGCTGTGGGCAGCCAAGTCCGACCAATCAGAGGCGGCAGGGGAGCAGGCAGTGCCAGCGTGGCTCTTCTGGTTCCGCCAGGTGGCATACTTCCAGGTGGCAGCTGTCTATATGTTCGTGCGACTCATTACCAACGTCTCCCAGGTCAGCACAGAAACAAAAGTATGTCTGGAAACAGGAATAAAGCAATAGTATCTGTCAAAGTAGGAAGGAAAGGCAAACAATAGTAATTCCCAGAACAGCAGTAATTTCAATTGTTCCAGCAATAATGCCTTTCGGTAAAAGCGATGTTTCTCAACCAAGTAACAAAATTCACAGAAATCTTGCGCCCTTAATTCTATTCAAGCCCTTGTGCTCAGCGCACACGGCGCTGATGTCACACTCCAGTGCTAAACCATCTCACTCTCTCCCCCTTCCCTCCATCCTGCCAACCTTCACTTGCCCACCACCCCAGGCCATGCTACCCTTCTTCCTCATATTCGACCTGGGCCTGCACCCCTCCGCTAAAGCCACCGTGAGCCTCTTCCTAGCCCACTTCCGCCCTGCCGTTGCCCAATGGAACTGCCTTGCCACGATGCCTAATCACACTGCCTGATCTCATACCTGACCTCACTGCGTGCTGATGCTTATTCATTGCTCCTCCACTTCTCCCCCTTCCCCTCTCCCTTTCTCCTTGCCCCCTCTCTGCACCACACCACACGGCCTCCCTCTACCCCCTCTCTCACTACTCCTCGCTCCCCCCCTTCCCCCTGCCCCCTCTGCGCGCATCAGATCCCAGCACTCATCTTCATCTGCAGCTTCATCACCTCTGTTGTGCTGCAGGTAACGTAACACCTCTTTCTCCCTCTCACTCACTCTAGCTCATGCCTTCACTCTCCCCTCTTCTCGATCCCCATCTCGCCCATTGTATTTGCGCCCTTCTCTTCCCATCTCCTTCCTCTCCAATCTTTCTAGTCCTTCCCCTTCCCCCTTCCCCTACCCCCCCACCCCACATCTCCCCCTCCCCCCCTCACAGGAGCTGCACTGGGACACGGGGCGAGTGAGGGTGGCGTGCAGCATGTCAGCATTTGAATTGCCTCAAACAACACCTTGTCCTCCTCACCTTCCCTCCCCACCCATCCCCATCCCCATCTTCTTCCCCCTCACAGGAGCTGCACTGGGACATGGGGCGGATGAGGGTGGCGTTCAGCATGGGAGCGGTGCTGTGGGTGGGGGCGAGTGCGGCGTTCCTCTATGTGGACGCGGGGCCATCCATGGAGCTTGTAGTCTACGCCCTCGCGCTTGTTGTCGGCATCTCCAACGCCCTCATGCTCGTACGCCCCTGCCCCCTCCCCTACCTGTCTTGCTTGCACACCCCTCCCTCCCTCTGTTCGTTCCCTTCTCTCCTACTCGCCCATGCACGGCCTGTCAGCACCAGCCCTGTCAGCTCCATTATTAGCGTCCCCGGTACCCCTCCTCCTCCTGCCTCATGCCTGGGCACACATCCCCCCCCGTCCCAGCCCATCAGGTGACAGCCACATCTCAAAAGTCCCCTGCACCCCCCTCTTGCCTGTGCGTGCATGTCCCCCATCCCATCCCATCAGGTGACGGCAACGAGTCTGGAGGGGGTGTTGGTGGGGCAGCACGTGTCTGTGTGCGCCTTTGTGTACGGCTCGCTGTCCTTCCTCGACAAGTTCACCTGCGGCATCGCCCTCGTCGCCATCCAGGCCTTCAACTGTCAGTCCCTCCCACGCCCCCAACCATGCCCGCCTTGCTTAAAATCATGTTTCTCTCGCTGCCCCCTACCCGCTGCCCCCTGCCTGCTGCCTGTTTCATGCATGAGTGGACATGTGACTGGGCAAGTGACAGTGTTTAGCACTCCCGTCCCCACACGACTAATACCAGTATGGCTTGTTGCTGTGCCATGCCTTCCTCTGCTGTCCCATCCCCTCCTCTGCTGTGTTGTGCAGCAAAAGAAGAGTATTGTGGTCCCACCAGCTCCACCTGCCCGCGCTCTATTGTGCGCTGGGTCCTTTTTCTGCTGCCCCTCGTTTCATCTATCCTGGCGGGCGGCATTGTGCTCACGACACACCTAGACGAATCGTCAGATGAAATCACCCAACCATCGTTAGAAAGCCCCTTGCTCGACAACAAGAACTCGGCTTCGAGAATCGATTCATGATTCTCAGGAAAGTAGTGTTTCCTTCCACAGGATCAATATATGAAGCTGTAAATGTGTTACTGAAAGGGGTTAGTCACATGCTGTCTTCTCATGTAATATAATCGCAATACAAGATTGTTTCGTCCTCGCATCGGTTCTCCATATTCGGTACTTCCGAGGGTTGGATTGGAACCACTTCTCACAGTTGCATCATCAGTGACACATCAGAAATCTTTGTGATGACCACAATACCACCAGGACAGTCCTGTCCCGACCAGGATAGCTGCTGATTCGCCGGCTCTCGTTCCTCGCGCAGAGTCCAGTTGAGGTGAGACGGGTTGGGTTGCGGACGCTGTGGGACCTTCGTCGCTGCGACGCCGCTCGCACTCTCACTGGCGGCCATGTCGAAGCGGAAGCAACAACGCAAGGCCAAGGCGGCAGGTCAAGCCACTACCGCACGAACACCTGATGGGTCGCCCGGAACAAGTGACGACCAATCAGAGAGTGTCACGCAGGCAGCTGAGCTGGCGACCAGCGCCAGTGATGCTGATTCCTTGCAAGCCGTTTCGACTGAATCTATACCCGGATCGGAACTTTCGCCGAAAGATGTGGTGGTGGGTGAGGAAGAGGACGAGTCGCGGACTCGCGTTGCCACGTGTCATCACCACAAGGGGTTAGATCTGAAGAAGTTCACTCGCGAGCTGAAGAAGCGCCACGTGGATGCGTGCGATCCGTGCAGTCAGCACAGCCACCGATTGGCTAGCAGCAAAAAGAAGGAGCACGCGGTGCCTATAACGGTTACGGCGGATGAGTCCCTTTGGGTGTGCCTGGTGTGCGCGCGAGGGTTCTGCGGAGATGCGGAAATGGCGGAAGGGGACGCGGAAACAGGGAAAGAGGATGGCGGAACGGAAGTTGAAGGGGAAAGGAAAGGCGTTGGCGCGCGGAAGAGCGGGCACGGGCACGCGCGGCAACACTGGGGACAGCTGAAGAGCCATGCGTTAATGGCCCACGCGCAGTCCTTGAGCGTCTGGTGCTTCCGCTGCCACCGCTGCGTGCTGCTGCGCGCCGATGGCGACGAACGCGCGCAGGCGGATGGCGCCGAGTGCGCGCAGGCGGAAGAAAATCCGGAGGGGGAGGGGGCGGAGAGACAGGGGGAGGCGGGAGGGGGAGAGACGCGGAATGACACGTCAGCGACTGCGAGCACCCGTGCGAGTGAAGGGGGGAGTGCCGCTGGGGGTAGTGTTGCTGGGGGGACCGCGCCATGGCCGCAAAGCCTCCCCTTGCACCATCCGCTCCGCGAATTCCTCCTACTGCTGTCGGAGGGGCGCACGGAAGTGGCGCGCGCTAAGGCGGCGGAGCAGAGCAAAGGGGGGTCGAAGGAGGGAACGGAGACAGGGGAGGGGCGAGGGAAGGCGAGGGAGGGGCGGGGTGCGGTGGTTGCTGCGAAGGGGAGAGAGAAGAAGAGCGGAGCGGGGAAGGTGGGGATGTCAGGTGACGAGGGAGAGAAGGAGGCGGAAGAGGGCGAGGGTGGAGATGAGGAGGAAGGGGAGGGGGAGCGGCGGGCAGGCGCGGGGGGCGAGGGGCCGGTGCGCGGGTTGAGCAATCTGGGCAACACGTGCTTCTTCAACTCCGTCCTTCAGAACCTCGTCGCCATCCCCGCGCTCCGCGACCACTTCCTGGCCAATCCAGAGCTGCCACGTGTCGAGGCGCCTGCTCTGGCGGACACGGGGACAGAGAGGCGGGGCGATGGCGGAGGGGGGAATGAAGGTGCGGATGCGGATGGGGGGGATAAGGAGGGGTTAGAGAGGAAGGTTGGCGGGGGGCGGAAGGGGGGAGGAGTGAAGGTGGGGGGAAAGAAGAGGAGTTTCAAGGGGCCCATTAGTATGGCCCTGCGACGTGTCTTTGAAGACTTGAACCCTGGCCTCGTGCCTGCTGCTGCTTCTGATGCCACTGGTGCCATTGATACTGCTGCCACAGGCAGCCAATCGGAGGAGAGCATCTGCAGTCCGCGCGGCCACGTGGCAAGGGGTAAGGCGCTCCACTCGCGCAGATCAACAGCCCGCGCGGGGGGAGGAGGAAAGCGGGGCGCGGGGGGAAAGCATGGCAAGGGGGGCGGGGGGAAACGGGCGCAGCAGCACGAGGCGGAGGGCAGGGCGGGGAAGGCGCCGCCTTACAACCCGCGAGAGCTGTTTGGCGCGGTGTGCAGGTATGCACCGCGGTTCAGAGGGTACGAGCAGCAGGACAGTCACGAGCTGCTGCGGTGCCTGCTGCAGCTGCTGCAGGAGGAGGAGGACGGCACTGCTGCTGCCGCCGCTGCTGCTGCCCGCAAGAAGAAACGCCAAGCTGCAAACGCGGCTCCCCCGCCCCCTCCCCCGCTTCCGCCCCCGCCCCCGCCTCGCGCTAATGCCCCCCCTCGCGCACCTCCCCCTCCTCCCAACCCGCCTCCGCCCCCGCCCCCTCCTCCCCCCTCCGGCCCGCCGCCTCCCCTTCCTCCTCCCTCCGCCCCGCCGCCACCCCCTCCTCCCCCATCTCTCCCTGCAGCGAACGTTGCAGGAGTGGCAGGGGGAAAAGAGAAGGGGGGGAAGACGGAGAGACAGGGCGGTTTGGGGGCATTGGGGGACTTGAGTGCGGGGCTGGGAATGGCGATAGCGCGGCTGAGGCACGTGGAGGGGGGGGCTGCCGCGGACGAGGTGCAGCGACTGAGGGAGGAGAGGGGGGAGGAGGGGGGAGAGGGCATGGGGCTGGGATGGCTGGAAGGGGAGGGGAGCGGGGGGGAGGCGGACGGTGGGGGAGCGGGGTGGGGGGAAGAAGAGGCGGGTGAAGAGGAAAGCGAGGAGGAGGACGAGCAGGGGGCGGAGGCAGGGCGGGAGGGGGAAGGGAGGGGCGGAGGGGGAGAAGGGGAGAATGGGAAGAGGTTGAGTGTGGTTGAGAGGCTGTTTGGCGGGGTGCTGAGCAGCACGGTGGTGTGCTGCGAGTGCGGGCACTCGTCCACTGTGAGCGAGCCCTTCCTCGACCTCTCCCTCCCCATCCCTGTTGCCGCCCCCCCTCCCTCCCCCCGCGCGCACCTGCCTGCGCAGAGCAGCAGGAAGGGGCATGTCGGGGGAAGGGCGCGGGGGTGGGCGAGTGGACGGCGGTGGAGAAGAGGGATGGGAAGGGCGGGCGGGGTGGCAAAGGGAAATCGACAGGGGCGGGGGAGGCGAAGGCAGAGGGAGGGGGAGAGGAGAGGGGGGAGGGTGGGGCAGGGGAGGTTGTGAAAGGGGGTGCGGGCGATGGGGAAGCGAGCGGAGGACACACAGGGACTGGCACAGGCAGCAATGATAGCAGCGGCATCAGCAGCGATTGTAACAGTAACAGCAGTAGCAATGGTAACAGTGGCACCAGGAGCTGCGAGGTGGAGGCAACGCAAGCGGTTGTGAAGAATGGTGAGGAAGCGGCAGGGGCTCGTGATGTGGTGGGTGCCGTGTCAAATGGTGTGGCTGATGGTGTGGCAGGTGCTGTGTCAAGTGGTGTGGCTGGTGACGTGTCAAGTGGTGTGGCAGGTGGAGGTGTGGAAGAGGAACGGCAGGGAGCAGCAGTGGAAGGGGGAGAGGGGCTGGCACGGGATGGTGGTGAGGCCAGTAGCAGTGATGCTGCTGTCAATGGGAGCGCCACTGACGGGAACACTGCTGAGGGGATGGCTGCTGGGGAGACGGTTGCTGAGGGGATGGCTGCTGGGGAGACGGTTGCTGAGGGGATGGCTGCTGGGGAGACGGTTGGTGAGGGGAGAGATGCCGGAGTGGAGGGCGGGACGGAGCAGAGGGTGGGAGAAGAGGAGAGGGAGAGTGGTGGGAGTGCGAGGCAAGGTGAGAGCAGTGCAGTCACCGGCGCCTGCAGCGTGCCTGGCCCCTCCAGCAGAGAGGGCGGCGCTGACAGCTGCTGTAGCAGCAGCGTTAGTGCCATGGGGAGCAGCAGCATGGGTGCGAGTGTGGCAAGCAGCAGCAGTGCAGCGGGTGCGCAGGAGGGTGGCGATGTGAGCTTGAGCACGGAGAAATGGCGGGGCCGGAGAGTGGGATTCCTGTCAGATCAGCCGGAGCAGCCACAGCCGCGGTCGCCGCAGGTGTTACAGAAGCAGGTGCAGCAGGCGAAGCAGCAGCAGGCAGCTGCGCGCATGTCAGTGGAGGGGTGTCTGTGGGAGTTCAGTGCAGAGGAGGTGCTTCGAGGCGACGATGCTTGGGGCTGTGATGGGTGCACTGCCATCAGACGGAAAGAGGTGAGGCGCAGGCGGAGGGAGGAGAGGAGAGGGAGGAAAGGGAGGAAGAGCGGAGAAGGTAGTGGGAGGGAGGATGCAGAAGGGACGAGGAGAGAGGGGGCAGAGGGTGTGGGTGGGAGTGTGGGGGAGGTGCGAGGCGAGGCAGATGGGGTAGTGGTGGCATCAAATATGACTGCCATAGATAAATTGGCCAATCACGTGAGTGCAACAGACAACGCGATTGCAACAAATGATGTGACTGCAGAAAACGCAGACCCAGCAGCAAGCAATGCCCCTGCAGCAGACAAAGTGGCAGGAGCAGATGGTTGTAACAGCACGGGCAACATAAGTCATGAGGAATGCAGAGATGTGGAGCATGTGGCTCATTCTTCTGCCGCTGCTGGCAGTGCTGCTGCTGATGGTACTGCTGATGGCGCTGGCGGTGGCAAAGGGGCGGGAGACCAACGAGGGGAGGATGGGGATGAGGCGGAGGAGGCAGAGGCAGAGGCAGAGTCAGAGTCAGAGGAGGAGGAGGAGGAGGAGGAGCAGGTGGGGCGGGTGCGCAGTGAGGCGAGGAAGCGGTACTGGGTGCAGAGGGCGCCGGCCGTGCTGGTGGTGCACCTCAAGCGCTTCCGCCACGACAATCGAGGCAGGCTCTCCAAGATCAGTGGCCACGTGTCGTTCGAGGAGTGGCTGGAGCTCAGCCCATTCGCCGAATCCCAGCCACTGTGAGTCCTCCCTTGCACGCCCTCCCTTGCACGCCCTCCCTCTCTTTCTCTTCCTTTTGCTCTTGCTTGTGTCGCTCAATATTGCTAGAAATTCCTGCCGGCCCATTATTGCTGCCTCCCTGCATGCATATCTTCCACTGCTCCTCCATGTGGTCTGCCAAACCTCTCACTCCTCAACACTCTCCCTTACCATATGCCCATTCGATTGTCCCCATGTGGCACTGTCACATGGTCCCACAGCACCCCATCCGGGCACACCTCACCATCACCATCAGCATTGTCCACTTCAGCACCCAGGCTGTCGCACATACCGGAGTCACCTGTAGCCACGCAGACAGGTGGAGAGGCTCCATTGGATTGTGGTTTGGAGGAGCAGTCCCAGGCCCAGGCCGAGGCCCAGGGTGAGCCCCACCGATACCGGCTGTGTGGGGTGGTGGAGCACAGTGGCACCATGCAAGGCGGGCACTACGTGGCCTATGTGCGGCGTGGCTGGCAGCAGCAGCACTGCCAGCAGCAGCAGCAGCAGCAGCAGCAGCAGCAGCAGCAGCAGCACGGGGCTGGAGCGGATGTACAAAGCAGTGGGGAGGCAGAGGTGGGTGCATGCAGTGGAGCGGAGCTGGTGCAAACAGGTGGGGCAGAGGGTAGCGGGGTCACAGGGGTCATCAATGGGGTTACTGCAGAGGGCAATGGAGCGTTGGGGAAGGTGTGTGTGGAGCAGTCAAGCGAGTGTGGGGGATGGGAGGGTGGACAGTGGTGGTACATCAGTGACACGCACGCCCAGGCAACGACACTGGAGCGAGTGCTGCGCTGTGAAGCCTATTTGCTCTTCTACCACCGTGTTGGGAGTTGAAGGATGATCATGGGCCGATTTTAAGAAGGCTCTGCTTCTAGTTTATTGCCTGTGGCTGTATTGGCCATAGATTTATACTGGGATTTGCGGGAACACTGCTGCCTGGATTGGCTAAGCAAAAGGGAGCCGGAGGGTAGTACGATAATTCAGTTGAAATGAAAAGCATTTCTTAGCTTGTAGTAATGATAATGTACAGAGCACTGTCGGTGTTACGTGAAGATGCTATGGTCATGGAACACTAGTTGCGGACTTCCGCCACCGCTAGTTTCGCATTGTGTAGTAGAGGTTCTGCTCGTCTGAACAATAGGTGCGCTGTACTGACAGCCTGACGCCAGCAAACCAATCGGGACACGCGAGGGCACCCTCGAGCTTGCCGTTCGCCCTGACTTTGTGGTTGACGAATGACGACATGGATGGGCGTCGCTTGGCAACGTTCACCCAGTGCGGTGCGGTCTCCCGTGCGACGCTACCCTAGACTGACCGGCCATTTTCAGGTGCATGCCACTCAGTCTAGGAACACTATTCAAGTGCATGCCATGTTATTGGGCAGGTGTGTACACTTTACGCGGCTTAGAAATTTGTTATCGTAAAATTACGGGCTTCCCAAGATTCGTTTAAAATTAGCACAAACAGTCGAGAATAGATGCGATTCCGGATTACGCAAATCGAAATCGGAATGGTTGGCTCTCGACACTGCATTTTCTGACGTTACCAGAAGCAATCATTGCATGTTGCCCGATTTCGACGCGAATTCCTGCTTCGCCCTAACTCTTTTTTAACAAACTTAAATGCTAGATCAGCTGTACTGTTTACGCGGTTGACGGACGCTGCGCATGGCAAATCAACAAATTTTTCTAGGGCGTGCAAATCAACAAATTATGCACGCCCAAGAAAATTTTGTTGATTTGCCATGCGCAGCGTTCGTCAGCCGCGTAAACAGTACAGCTGATCTAGCATTTATGTTTGTTAAAAAAAGAGTTAGGGCGAAGCAGGAATTCGCGTCGAAATCGGGCAACATGCAATGATTGCTTCTGGTAACGTCAGAAAATGCAGTGTCGAGAGCCAACCATTCCGATTTCGATTTGCGTAATCCGGAATCGCATCTATTCTCGACTGTTTGTGCTAATTTTAAACGAATCTTAAGAAGCCCGTATTTTACGATAACAAAATTCTAAACCGCGTAAAGTGTACACACCTGCCCAATAACATGGCATGCACTTGAATAGTGTTCCTAGACTGAGTGGCATGCACCTGAAAATGGCCGCTAGACTGACTACTGTACAGTACTGTCCCTAGTCCCTAGATTCCCTCCCAACCAATGCCCGTCTTCCCTAATGCCCAACTGCAATTCCTCCCCACTGCTCGTTAGCCTGGCTCACTTGGCAGGCAGAAGTTTTTGTGACAAGTGATAACAGCTAAAACTACTCTGGTGATTTTTGGCGAAGGACCTAGTGAAATCCATGGCTACACAGTGACATTTGCTAGCACGCTTTCCACTGGCCCGAAGCCGACTCGCTGGGCTGCCTCGCGGGTTATCATGGCTGACGGTCAACCGCCGGAGACGAGTGGTAGGAGAAGAGGCAGCCCGTTGAATCCTTCGCTGAACGCGGAGTCGCGTCTGGCCGTGGTAGAGGCGACGGAGGCTGCACGCGATGAATGTCCGAATAGTAACGTCGCAGAATTCAACGACTGTGAAACCAGGAAAGCGGAGGACCGTCGCGGTGACGAAGGATCGTCGTGTGCGCCGTCAGATGTGAAGGCTCGCTCGTCGCGGCGATCAGGACGACCTGCGAGCGACCGCGAGTCTCCTTCGCACGGAAGATGGCTTCTTCCTTCATGGACGAGCAGCAAGCGCCTCTCGACCGTCGCAACGTCCATGCGCAAGTTTTTTTTCCATCGACCGATTGCACGAGCTCGAACGGTCATGGATGACCTGGGCTTTCAGCGTGAAGCTTCCTCCGTGGTTCCGCCGCCACGTCACCTTCTACCGCCTCCACGTCCTCTGCTTCGTTATAGTCATCCTCATCGGCACGTTCATCATGTATCTCATTCCGGGCGGGCCGGGCGGCAAGATGAGTTTCATCGACACGCTGTACAGCGTGACGTCAGCCACATGCCTGACTGGGATGATCAGCGTTGACGTTAACGTTTTTTCTGATGGAGCTAACGTTTTCCGTCTGCTGCTCATGATAATTGGCAGTCAGATCACGACGTCGCTCGTGCCCGTCTACGTCCGTCGCTTCTACTTCCACCGCTACCTCTACCGCGAGGGGTACGTCACGCGCGGCGGCCGCCGGAGCGATCCCGTGGTGGCAGTGCGCAGCGGGGAGGCGGCGAGGGTGGATGGGAACGGAGAGGGCGAGCGTGGCGCGGAGGGTCTGGGGGTGCTGGAGGAGGAGGAGCGTCGCACATCGGAGGACGACAAGGCCGCTGACGCGCGCGATCATGCTGCATTAAGCAGTAAGGCCGAGGTGTCAGGTGCGGTGGCGGCGGGTAGCGGCAAGGTGACCCACGTTCAGAGCGACCCGGCTAGGGTGTCTCCGATTGGGTCCAGCGGCGCCAGCAGAGGGCGCGACGGAGCGCTCGTCATTCCCGTTAATGACGCTCCAGCTGGGTCCGACGTGGACGCCACGCGGCAAGATTCCAGCCAGAATGGTCCGAGATCCGCTCGCGCTGACGTGGACGCGCTGCGGCTGGACAGCAGCCAACACGGGCCGCGGTCGGCGCGGTGGGACGGGCGCATGTGGGACAGTCCGCGTAACGCGCAGGGGCGGGTGGCGCTGACCCCGCGGAGGGCGTTGGGGCTGGAGGACGCGCTGGAGCGCACAGTGGGGCCGCTGTCGGGGCGGTACCAGGCGGGAGAGGAGAACGCGTGGCACACGTGGTCGGGGGACGTGGCGCGTGCGGAGGGGCAGCGGCTGAAGCTGGCGCTGGAGATCATGCGCGTGCAGCAGCAGCAGCGCGAGAGCGAGCACCGGCCAGGGCTGTTCCTCCAGCGCACGCTCTCGTCCAGCACCTGGCGCACCGATGATGCCGAGGGCACCAGTGCTGGCGCTGACGCTGAACTGCTGCCCATGGACCCGGGCGAACGAAGGTTCCTGGAACTGAGGTGGGCAGGGAAGGGATGGGGAAGTAGAGATTAGGGAAAGAGAGGTTAGTGGGTCTGTTGGTAGCTGATAGGAGCTGTTGTGTGACGTGCTCTGCTCTGCACTCCACTGCACTTCACTGCTCTGCTCTGCTCTGCTCCGCACTGCCATCATCCAATCCTGCTTTATCACGTCGCCTCCCTACCTCCCACCCGCACCCCCACTTCGATTCCACATCCCCCTTGCTCATTCCCATACCCCGTTGGTCATCCGTCCAACCTCCTGCACCTCCTGCACCTCGTGCCCCTGTGCGCGTGCGCGCGGTGGCAGGGCGCTGGAGCTGCTGAGCTGGCTGGTGCCGCTGTATTTCCTGGTGGTGCAGGGCGTGGCGGTGGTGCTCATGCTGGTCATCGTGCACGTGTCGCCCTCCGTCAGGGAGGTGCTGGACCGCAATGGCGTCAACTCAGTCTTCTTCTCCGTCTTCCAGGTGCCCTCCTGCCGCCCCCCTCCTCTGCCTTCCCTGCCGCCCCCCTCCTCTGCCTTCCCTGCCGCCCCCCTCCTCTGCCTTCCCTGCCGCCCCCCTCCTCTGCCTTCCCTGCCGCCCCCCTCCTCTGCCTTCCCTGCCGCCCCCCTCCTCTGCCTTCCCTGCCGCCCCCCTCCTCTGCCTTCCCTGCCGCCCCCCTCCTCTGCCTTCCCTGCCGCCCCCCTCCTCTGCCTTCCCTGCCGCCCCCCTCCTCTGCCTTCCCTGCCGCCCCCCTCCTCTGCCTTCCCTGCCGCCCCCCTCCTCTGCCTTCCCTGCCGCCCCCCTCCTCTGCCTTCCCTGCCGCCCCCCTCCTCTGCCTTCCCTGCCGCCCCCCTCCTCTGCCTTCCCTGCCGCCCCCCTCCTCTGCCTTCCCTGCCGCCCCCCTCCTCTGCCTTCCCTGCCGCCCCCCTCCTCTGCCTTCCCTGCCGCCCCCCTCCTCTGCCTTCCCTGCCGCCCCCCTCCTCTGCCTTCCCTGCCGCCCCCCTCCTCTGCCTTCCCTGCCGCCCCCCTCCTCTGCCTTCCCTGCCGCCCCCCTCCTCTGCCTTCCCTGCCGCCCCCCTCCTCTGCCTTCCCTGCCGCCCCCCTCCTCTGCCTTCCCTGCCGCCCCCCTCCTCTGCCTTCCCTGCCGCCCCCCCTCCTCTGCCTTCCCTGCCGCCCCCCTCCTCTGCCTTCCCTGCCGCCCCCCTCCCTCCTCTGCCTTCCCTGCCGCCCCCCTCCTCTGCCTTCCCTGCCGCCCCCCTCCTCTGCCTTCCCTGCCGCCCCCCTCCTCTGCCTTCCCTGCCGCCCCCCTCCTCTGCCTTCCCTGCCGCCCCCCTCCTCTGCCTTCCCTGCCGCCCCCCTCCTCTGCCTTCCCTGCCGCCCCCCTCCTCTGCCTTCCCTGCCGCCCCCCCTCTGCCTTCCCTGCCGCCCCCCTCCTCTGCCTTCCCTGCCGCCCCCCTCCTCTGCCTTCCCTGCCGCCCCCCTCCTCTGCCTTCCCTGCCGCCCCCCTCCTCTGCCTTCCCTGCCGCCCCCCTCCTCTGCCTTCCCTGCCGCCCCCCTCCTCTGCCTTCCCTGCCGCCCCCCTCCTCTGCCTTCCCTGCCGCCCCCCTCCTCTGCCTTCCCTGCCGCCCCCCTCCTCTGCCTTCCCTGCCGCCCCCCTCCTCTGCCTTCCCTGCCGCCCCCCTCCTCTGCCTTCCCTGCCGCCCCCCTCCTCTGCCTTCCCTGCCGCCCCCCTCCTCTGCCTTCCCTGCCGCCCCCCTCCTCTGCCTTCCCTGCCGCCCCCCTCCTCTGCCTTCCCTGCCGCCCCCCTCCTCTGCCTTCCCTGCCGCCCCCCTCCTCTGCCTTCCCTGCCGCCCCCCTCCTCTGCCTTCCCTGCCGCCCCCCTCCTCTGCCTTCCCTGCCGCCCCCTCCTC